CGATTATGACACAATTTAGTGCTGGATTTTTAGCTCATTGTGGTATTGAATTGTTGTGCTTTGATGTAATTTTAGTGGAATATTTTGATACACATTCCTTGATAGACTTTGGTGCACATTTTTCTATCGCCATGAAAAGAGGCTACGTTTTTCCTGGGTACATAGTAGCTTACCGACGTGCTCAACTCCATAAATCCTTCCAAGCAAATTGTACAAGATTAGATGGCCTTCACGGTGTCCTGAGTGATGATGGCTTTGTCGTACTTTACCTGTTATGATGAGGAGTGAGGATACCCTTGTTCTGGTTACAGTGTTTTAATGTATTCCCTGTAAACCACCAATCATTCAGGTATCTTACTAAACATGCATTGTAACATGGATTTAAAATAGATTAATCTATTAACTGATTGAACATATTTGTTTTGGTGCTGTGGTAATAAGTGCAATATTGTGATGTTTTGTGCTTTTAGTTCAAAATGTAATGGTCAGTGTGCCTTTAGAGAACTCAATTGCACGATGATTTTCTGATTGCCTTTGGAGTTTAAGAACGTAAGTGCTGCATGCGTGTGTAGAAGAATAAAGTGATCGAAATTTACAGCGAGCCTCAATACATCAACATACATTCATTTTCTCTGGAATTGTATATTCTAATAGTGATAGATGAAAAACATTCACAATGGTATTTTAGCAGCATGTTATCTGTAGACATAGTGGCAGACTGATTTTTGGTGTGATGTGTAACCCTTGCAATGTAATTCTCTGCAATACAAATAACGTAATACATCTACAGACCTTTGTCAATCCACTGCTGGATGAAGGCCTCCCCTTACGTAACGATGCTATTCAGAGCAGGTTGGTGAAGGCCCTGACCCAATTCACAAATCGCTCGCCACTGATGTTAGTTGTCGCCAAGAATACAACTCCGGTTACCTGGGTTCAGACTGCAGTGTGCTAAACATTGCACCACCACTCTCCCGAATGAAAAGAATTGGGTAACTAAAATATCACAATGGGCAGAATGTTTTATGGCACCGACATTTCGACCAAAGATTAAACATTATGGACTTAGGTCTATGAATTCTAGTTGTGTGAGCTGAGCTGCAATATCGTGCTGTCAGGAGCACCTCCCATTCGTCATTGTCTCTTTTATAATAAATTAATGTCGCTGTCAACGCCTCAAATTTAATGTAATTTCAGCCTTGGGTATATATATTAAACTGTATAATTTAGTGCATGAGGTGCAACTCTGTTTGATACTTGGTAGGTGTTAAAATATTTCAGTAGTCTCAATAATAAAATGCTGCATATTTGAGCAGATGTTTTGATTGTTGCGTATTATAAAATATTAACTTTGTAGACTGTAAGAAAACTACATCAGGTTTTGGCACCTGTCATCTAAGAGTGCCTTTGAATTGCTTAGGTACATCACACATATTAATTATTGACTTAAATCTTTCAGGACTGTAGGAATTCATATTCTTTGGGTCTTTCGGTAAAGTCACTAAAACGTTTCGATCGCAACACAATCGTTCGTCATCAGGAAGAAAAAATTAACCCGTAAAAACAAAGTTTTTCACTATAAATCCTTTATATGCGTGGCGGCTAGAGTCCTCTCGTCCTCTGGCTTGAGATGGCTGCCACCTATGGGTCAGATGATTGTATGCCACCATTAAGCAATTGGTAATTAAATATTATTACTTTTTCCCTAAACAGTGTAAAATTTTGGAAATTTCTTTTCACGAAAATTAATTGTCACACACAACGAGTCTGTGTGCAAAATTTCAGCTCGATTGGATCACGGGAAGTGGGTTAAAAAACGACAGAAAGATTTGCACGTTCGTAAGCAAGCAAGCACGCAAGCAAGCAAGCAAGTGAACTTAATATAAAGGATTTAAAAAAGAGGGGGACAGCTGCTGAGGCAGACTGTTTTAAAGGTTTAAAATGGGTGTCGCCCAAGGGTCATAAACGAAGTGGGCGGGGCTAGTGATGTTAATGTGAGATCAGCATGTTCATGTAAGATCGGAGAGCGGCCTCCATGAGGGTGCGGAGGTGGCTATATTAACCCAATTCACAAAGAATACATACATATTAATGTTTAGATTTATTTGTTCAATAATGGAAGTTCAGTTGCTTGATGAGCGCAGATGTCACAACTTGCCATATGTTTTGGGCATGCAAATCAGTTGATGCAGCATGACGTTATTTTGTGCTCAAGTTAATCTTTTATAGAGACTGTTTATAAAAATAAAATCATTGGTGTAATGGTTATCACACTGGACTTGCAATCCAAAGGTCACCGGTTTGATCTCCTGGTGTGACAGTGGAAATTATGGTCATGTTTTGTTTAAATCTGCCTGCCTGTATCCACCCAAGAGTATAAATGGGTACACCATATTTTGCTGATTGGCATGTCACATTTATACTTTCAGGTTTTTTATTAATTGTAGGTAAAACAATAAAATAAAATAAATGAAAACAGCTAAAGGCACAGCAAAATAACTGTACAGTTAAATAACTATACAGTTATTTTGCTGTGCCTTTTTACACCTGATGAGGGAGGCTTGTGTTGCCTCCGAAACGTCGTGATTTAATTTAGTTGTTTTCATTTATTTTATTTTATTAATTGTTTTACCTACGTGACTTTATCGAAAAAAACAGAGTGTATGAATCCTTGCAGTCACGATAGCTTCAAATCTAGAATGTCACATTTAGTGGGGTACATTGTGGATACCACTCCTTCCAAGATGTCTGACCAGTGTGGAAGAGTAGGCCAAATGCCCTCTGGAGGGGCTCTAAGGTTTCCTCTGGGGGCCCTTCCATCAGTAATGGCATGTGCAAGTAATTGTAGGGCTGCACATATACCTTTTCTTGTAATAAAGGTAGAGATATTTAATGAGTCACGGGGAGGAGGATTTATCAGTCTTGTTTGGCTTGATGTGAGGCATGGTGACTGGAAGATCTACATAGGAGTATGTGAGGTAAGCAATACCAGTGTCTAATTCAGCCATTAAATACGTGTATTGTAGACTAAGGCAGCTCTTTAATGGTCAATTTAAAACAATTTAACTGCACAGACTGAAAAAATATACAAGTGTGTTGCAAGGTTTATTAATTTAGTTGGTGGGGGTGAGCGGCGGTACAATGATTAGTGTGCTGTGTTATGAACCTGACAACCCAAGTTAAATTTATAGCCATTGCTAGCATCAGTGACAAGTGATATTCGAACCATTCCTGTCTGTTGCCTGCCTTCTGGGTTGTGACATGGCACAGCGGTTGAGTATTTGCCACGCGTTGCAGAGGTTAACGATTTGAATCCAGTGGCCGCTTTGGTAATTACTGACTGTAATGACCACAACAATATGCGTCGTATGATTTGCAGTGGATATTAAAGGTAACCACGTCATTCGCAATAGTAAGCCATTGTGTGCTGGCGTTAGGGTCTAATTTTGCCACATTCTAAAATTACCTGGAAATTACTCAGTGGGGATTATACATAGCAATCATCGCCCCCTACTGGCAGATTAATGCCCAAGGCCACTCTTGCATATAAGACTCATCCTAGTATCTTGAGTTCTCATTTGGTTGAATAAATACAATTTGAAACTCCCCTCTCACCCCTTTACTAACCTGCACTAACGAACAGAGTTGCAGTATGGTAGTAAAAACACCTATGACCAACAAGGTGTGGGGAAGCCTTCATCCATTTGTGGATTGAGAATGGCTGGAATTTATGTTACGTGATTATGACCAAGGGAACGCAGAGTGATTTGTATGGGAAAAAATGCAGTGGGTAATTTCGCACAAGCATTTTCATTTGGGTCCATGAGGCTCCCACCGAATACAGACCACACCCAAAGTGCACGGGCCAGTTTACACCCGAGCATGCTAATTGGCCTAGCAAATTTTGACACACCATGTCACGGCGAGCTTCAGAGTGAACCTTACGAACATGAATAAACACTGCAGAAAAATCTCAACACGATTATGGAATTTGATTTATGTTACGCTACCAAACCCCCTCTTAATCGTGGGTGATATTTTAAAACAGTCAGGCTAATTTCCTATTACCATACTCTATTTGCAGTAATAGTCCCATTTAATGATCTAACCTTCAACTGTGTAATTTAAAGCTTCGGAGTAAAATGAATAAATTCTGTATTTCAAGTAGCTTGTAAAAGGCACAATGAATAATAGGACAGGGCTTAAAATTGGCTCTTTGTTTGCAATGCTGAGAGCTGAATGAGGACACAATACCTTAAAAGAAAATTCTGCAGAGCGTGAAGACATAACGCAGATTAACGTGAAGTAAGTCTATACAGTAGTACAATTCCTAATACGAACTGGCACTTAAGGTAGATGGGGTTTATTCGAGTTTGAATGTAATTTAATAAGCAGAGGACAGTGTTCTCAGGGCAGCTCAGATAATTTTGCACAGATGCCTGTGTTGGTGATGTTGTTTGCTGCTGCGGATAGTGTGTTGAGTAGTTCCATTACTGCATGTGTGCTTTGTACAGTTCCAATAACTACTTTCAACCCTGCCCCCACATCGTGATTGATAGGACAGCACATTTCTCATGTCAGAATGCTGCTGCATTTTGCATTCACCTCATTCCTGGTAGAGTCTCTGCAGGAGTTATTGCCAAAGCACGATACGTGATTGAAACATTCATTAGGCTTGTGTTGATGTGAAGGAACTCGTCGGAGCTTTACAAGATATCGTTGACTGCAGTGTGTGACTCCACGCAGAGTAACTATCCTGTTGTTTTTCACAAGCAGGTTTCTCTCACGTTGCATTTAGAAAGCGGTGTGCAGTCTCTCGGTATAAACCAACATGAAAAGGCACAATTAAAATGCTTGCGTTGTTTGATAGGAAAAGCAGGATATGATTATTAGTTACCGTGTGATGGTGAGTGCCACATTACTCAGGGCTTAGGGAATGAAAAATACATTTCATCCTGATGACTTTTTAGAGGCATTCACATGATTGCATTTTCTTTCAGGAACCGTGGTGCCGTGCACGCTATTCAACCACACAAAGAGGTTATTTCTGAAGGAAATTTACACATCTGTGACCTCAGTAGCAATCTAAGAGAACATCTGGCAGAACCCACTCACGGAAGAGCCAACAGAAAGGGTGATTTACATGGTCAAAACCACTCATCAATAAATATATGCTGGAAGAGCAGGGCAATGTTCTTTTATTCCTCCCTTGGGTTTGACATTTGCATTAAGAGACCATCCCCCATGACAAAGTGAGAGAGGGGATCTGGCCTAATACAGTGCGAGCGGTGACATCATTCAACATGTTCTCCATCGGCCTGTGAAGCCAACAAACAAACGCTCAAGGTTGTGCTCAAAGGGCCAGTTTCACGGAAGGGCAGTACCTTCTTTGGGACTAAAGTCGTCATCGTGATTTCGAGATAGAAAAGAAGACTGCTCCTTGGACATGAGTAAAAGTGCAAGCAGTGAAAGCCGAGGGTCAGCTGGGTCGCAGCCCCCAGCGCAAGGCAAGAGCAGCTCCTCGCAGAGAGACAGCCATCAGGTGGGAAGCACCACATACACACGCCACGTCTCATCTGTTCCAACAGGCGTCGTTGTTTGCTGTGATGGAATTTTACTCGCCCTCATCGTTACTATCATCATGATCACCAGGGATTAATTTCTAATGGAATATTTTATAGGTCCCCCAACTCCCATAACCCTGTTCCCTCCACCCGTTCCCACTTATGACGGTAGGGGTGGAGGGCAATTGTTCCGTTCCTGAATTTGAGTTTGTAGTGCTTGCGCCTCACATGCACATATCTTTTTTACTTGGTACTTGATTGTTTCCACATATAAAACGTTCATGAAGGAATTCGCCAATGTATCCCAATGCATGACCCTCCTGAAAAAGCATCATTATGCTCTGTCAATAATGATTAACATAATCACGAGTTTATTTTATAGAGCATATTTTCTGGCACAAACCTCAATGTACTTAATGGCCAAAACAATTATTGTCCAGCAGCATAACTGCTCTATTAAGTATGCTTCAATCCATTGCTTCTCCCTTTGCTCTGACATTGCACCTTTACAAAAAATGTTCACAGTTTGATTCAGATCAAAGAAACGTTAACAGCGCCTTTTTATTGAAAAGGACAGGATTCCAGCTCAAATGCCTTTCCTGTCATTATACTCAACTGCATATAAGTCTTCGCCTCCTTTTTTGGTGTTATTATAAACACGGGTGTTCTATGCGTGACTATGAATTGTAGATACATCATACTCGCAACCTCGCATGGCACTGAAGAATGACAAGAGACAGGGAATTATTTATGTCCAGCAAGCCAAGCAGTGCACACCCCCCACTCTCATTTTATCTGAAGCACAATCCTGGACCCAGACAGGTGATTGACAGCTAAAAGGTTTGAAATAAGTAGGCACTTTTTCTTGGTAAATCGGCTATCAGTCTGAGACTGAAGATCACATCATCATTCTTCACCATTAGCAAAGTGAGATGGGTTTTTTTTGGCTGTGCCTCATTACACTGTCTATTAAAACTAGAAAATAAACTTGTGTGCAGGTGCTTGGTGAATCGTTCCCTCGCAGGACCGTAACGGATGCCAACGGCTTGGGCAGGTCATATTCCAGCAGTGAATTGGTCATAGCTGATAATGATGATCATTATTCAAACGAGGATTCTGGAAATATAAATAAATATATAATTATCTTTTGATAAAGTCCAAGATGAACTGCAATGGTTATCAATACCTCAAATTAACATGGTTGGCTACGTACGGTGCGAAAGAAGCTGAACATACATACGTACATGAACTTTGCACTGTTAATGTTGAACTCTAAAAAAAGATTGCAGGCTCGGTTATTAAATAATAAGCATTAAAATTTAGGGCACTCAAGTGTATTGATTAGCCTTTGACAATTCAAAGCAGTGTTATTTGCCAAAAGTGAATGAATATTAGTCATAGAAAATAGCACAATGGTTGTAATGTTTGAGATGCCAGTAATTGTTCAAGGAATCCCATGCATTATAGATTTCCATTCCTGGAAAATATACATGCATTTCGGTACATATACCTATTATTGGCATAAATATTATTGTGATGTATAGATGTGTGTGCATTATTCTATCAATGCAGGAACTGGTATTCAGTTCCTGGCCATGTACAACACAAGACAAGTGTATATATGAACTCGATTTGAGCCCCCTCTAGGTAGATTCAGCCTATACTAAGTACCTGGCCAAATTATCCTCTTGTGTGCCACACTGACCTTGATAAGTGCTCATTACTATAGCCACGACAGTCTTACTTAGAAATAGTTGTGGTTGTGTTTTATATGTATGTGTTTGTATGTCTTTGATTTTCCAGGACGATGGAGAAGTATGGGAAGTTGTGGATGGAATGAATGAGTGCCAGGGCAGTTTGACACCACCGGTTCGGAAGGAAGGTTGCCTACATAAGAAACGCAAATGGCCCCTGAAGGGCTGGCACCAGGTACTTTGGGAGACATGTACATTGTAATGGTTTGCTTCAGCACTTGTCTGCTCTAATCATCCACTCAGGAGAGAAAGGCGCATTTCTGTTTTGTATTTGTAAATAACTAGACGTACATTACATTGACTGCTCGATTTAATATCTGGACCGTCGTAAAGCCAGATAACTGGGCAAGAACAAATGTGCAGTGCGCATGTTCCACATTCCCCCTTTGAGAATGATCATTCATGGTCATATCAAGACAATGTGAAAGACCATTTAAAACAGTAAGTAGGGCACAGATGTTGTTTTGGATCAGCAAGTCTTAATGAATCACGCATAGTATGAGGCAAGCCAAAGTCATGTCTTGTTGATATGTTTTTGTTTCTCAGCGTTTCTTCACTTTGGAGAACGGGATCCTGAAGTATGCAAAGACACCCATAGATGTAAGTTGCAACCAGAGTGAAATGTGAAGTGTCGAGGCTAAAGTATATTATTGTGTGTTATCATAGCGCTCATCTTATAGCCAACAAGCAGCCTGTTCATCCACAAACCGCCTTTACTGTCACACGGACAGTAAAAGCGACATTCCGATGAAAATTGTATACTGCATACTGTACGTGTATGTTATACTTATGTTTAACTTCTTCCGTGTGGGGGAAGGAGAGCATACTAAACACAAAAGCAGTTCTAATGAAATGAATTTCAATCTAGAGCTAAGATTATGTATTTGGTTGACGTCCATATTCAATATATATATACAGTACGTATATCAAAGTAATGACATACCTAAACATTGTATATGTATGGATTGCTGACAGTGGTACCTCAAAGCCTGCTTGAGCATACATTTCCTGTGAATAAATACAACCCATTCTTTATAGTTTATGAAACCCTGATATTGATATAATCATATTATACAGAAAATCCTATGCCATATGTCTATTTTACCTGCTAATACCATAAAGTCGACTTAAATATGTTACTATATGTGAGGAATCCATGTTATTAAATATCACACCTAAACCATTTAGCACATCTAATTAAATACAATTCAGCCCCATAGGGAATTATACCATGTAAAGCAATGATAAAATGTACACATGTTGCAATTAATAATTGCATATATTTTGGTCATTGGTAATAGCATGAAAGAATTACCCCAATACAGAACAACACAATGTGTTATTGCAAATGTTGACCTACACTAATTGGTTATTTTAATATGCTCTTAATTAATATTTTATGGTCACACCTAACAATTACTCTTGCAAGGTGATGACACCCTCGTTCCACTTACATGCCACACAGACACTCATTGCTTCCTCATGAGTCCCTTTGATATTTTGTTACCATTCTCATTTGGGCTTCATTAGCATTACATTTTCCCTCAACACCACCTACCCTTCAATACTTTTAGCTATTCTAACAATTCAAAGGGTGCTTTTGTTGTGTAATGGTTAGCATACTGAATTGCATTCCAAAGATTGCCGGATTGATTCGATCTGGTGCAGCTGTTTAAAAATTGGCAAATTTCTTAAATCCCCACCACCTCTCCATCCAGCAGTATAAATGGGTATGCCACAGTTAGTCAATCGGCATTTCACCTGTAGTAGGATAAAGTGGGTATTTAAATTTCATCCAAGACATCTGGCCAGCATGAAGGAGGCCCTTCTGCCAACAGCGGCATTAGCAATAAATTGGAGGGCTGTACCTACACTTTGCACCTAAAGCATGCATTCCAGTTTATGAACTACCTCTATGTCAAACAGTAAAACAAAAATAATTCCCCAGATGCATACAAAGGAAGCCACATGTATCCGTGTTTCTGATTCAGAATTACTAAACTGAAAAAAATTACAATTTAATACACAAAGACTTGAAGGTAATGGGTTTTTTGAGTAATTGCCTCACTGATTTGGTTAATATTCACTGAAGTTGTGTTTGCGCTGAAGCGAAAATGCATGCTGATTCAGTGCACTCTTAAGCATTTTCACACAATTTTGTAAGGCAGGATAGTGAGGATTATGTTGTCTAGCTATCATGCGCATCACACATCAACATTTGCATCTAATGTATTATACCGTCTCGCATATAACACCAGAGTATTGTCATAATTTTGAGGTTTTTTTGGACATATGCTTGAGAAAATTATTTTTTGTCTTAGCTGTAAAATGAAAAATTTCCACACAATGATAAACAAACTTCTGGCGATGCACGTGTTCCTTTCCACGCAGTCAAATAAAATACACTGTATTTAATGACGCTAGTTGTAATTACTGGCAAAACGTCGTACTCAGACTGTGAATGTTGTGGCTTGGCTCTCCAACACACCGGTGTACTGTACTAGTGACAAATTGGCATGTTCTGTTTACGTCACAACCCTTACAAGTTGGCTGTGTCGGGTGGTGGCGAGTTTTAACAACACATTTATATATTTACGCGATCTAACCCTAAAAACCTCTTGTGGATAAATCCACTATTTCTAATGTAGCATAGGCACAATGCGCACGCAGGAAGTGGAAGCAAGATGCATCACTTTGACCCTATCTGCCTGCCCAACTTCAGATGATTTTCCTCAAAAATGCAACATTTGGGAGAAAATTGTACCTTGATAGAAATTATTGAATTGTCCAATAATACCATCATATTCACGACTGCCACACACAAGCTATCTCAGTATTTTCTACAACACATTACATTTTTTATCCAATTACTTTTTATTTACCCAGAATATATAGAGGGGCTTCCTCGAGTTGAGAACCTGTCAACATTCAATTAAGCAAGAATTCTAGAACTGCACCTTTACCATATCAAAGAATGCCCATGAGTCTTAAGACTCTTTTTCAGAAGGCTCCTAGTTGAAATATTTGGTAAATTCCTTATTGAGTATATTTTATGTGAAATTAAACTGGAGTACCTGGATTAGGGAAATGCACTTAAGTCTATACTGATAGGTGATAACCTACTTCATTTGCTGTCTTTACAGGCCACCCTATAGCCCTGCTACTGGACATCTTATGCATGATCTCTTTGTGGTCTGCCATTGCTTTTCCTGAAATGATGAATTACACACTTGTGTGACGATAACCTGCCATAGTCTACTACTTTTATTCTCACACAATTCACAGGCAGCACTGAGGAGTCTGCCCCGTTAGTGGTTTATTTGCGCATTAGTAAACTCTGAAGGTGCGACTGCGTCTCTGTGTCCGTGTAGGTACAGCGGGGCAGGCTGCGCGGCTCCATGGACCTTGGTCTGTCTGTCATGTCCATCAAGCGAAAGGCCGGCTGCATTGATTTGGATAATGAGGAGAGCATTTACCACCTCAAGGTATGTGCAGTAACCTTCAGGGAAATCCCACAGATCGGTAGTGCCAGCTATCATCAAGCCTATTCTTGAAATTATATACATTTCAAATCTATGAAAGTACACAATTAGATGTCTTTCAGCTATTATTAATGAACTAGCCTTTTGCCCGTCCAAGAACAGGTGTATTGCAGTAAATCTTAAACTTGCAAGCGAAAAGCAGACCGCGACGTAATATTCATTGCATTAATACGTGTGCAATTTGTCAGGGCACGGTGACACAGACCTATTTCATTTTAAGGTTATAATCCCTTGTTCATCATGACGTCCTTTTTACTTTGATGTCTCAATAGCGTTACGGAGATCGCGTGACGTGAGGGTTCTGCCTTTGTAGTGAGGGTTGTAGGTTGACGCCGAGGACGGGGGGATGAGGTGCCTCGGCCCCAACTGTGGAGTGACGTCAGCCACTAATTATTATGAATGGGGGGGGAGTGTCCATTTGGAGGGCGTCAGCTGTTAATGATTATTATTGATTATTAATGATCATTAATGAGGGGGGCTGTTCTATGTAGAGTGACGTTACCTGCTCATGATTATTAATGAGGGGGGGGGTCCATGTGGAGGACGTAACCTGTTCATGATTATTAATGAGGGGGGCTGGTCGACATGGAGTGACGTCACGAGCGATACACACAGACATTCTTGGCTCATTATAGTAGGTAATAATGGGGGGGTGTTCATTTGGAGGACGTCATCTGCTCATTATTATTAATGAGGGGGGCTGTTCGATGTGGAGTGATGTCACGAGCATTAAGGACAGACATTCCTGGGTTATTATAGTAGGTATGTACCATTTGTCGGTGTCTGCTTCTAGGCAAAGTCCAAGGAGCACTTTGAGCAATGGGTGTCGAGTCTGCGCCACCACCGGCAGCACCGGCAGTTCAGCATCTCCAAGGCCCCCTCGGTTGACGGAGACACCCCTGTATGTGCCGTGGCTGGACAGGCAAGCACACTTGCACATGTCAGCATGTCACATTATTCTCATTAACCGTGTGCCTGCTATATATAATGTGCTTCATTCACACCACGCCCACCCGCATACAGGTGCATTCTGGTGTGTAGAACATGCTGTTTGCGCATGTGTTAGACTTTTTTGATTTTCCACTGCAATATGTGAATTGTGGTCGCATCACGTGGGCTGGAAATCTTCACATTCCGGGTTTGGGTGTAGCCCCACGTTTCGATATGATGGTTTAGGGCTATTTAGCCTTGTGGCTTAACTACTCCAATGTGCCAAAAATATCACACCCAAATGTGACTTTTATTTTTTTATGTTAAATAAAATGGAAGATTTAATGATAGTCAAAGAGATACTTATAGAAATACAGCACATGCATCCTACAAAAGCCATACACTCTAACAGGATAAAATGCAACTGCTTAACCTATCGCATCATCATAAACCATGGTAAAGTCATTGCTGGATGTAAGGCCCTCCCCAAGCTGCTGCCACCTTTCACGAGCCGTAACAAGTCTTAATGCATTTCGTTATTAAGCAATTCTCCCCGACTTGAGTTGGGAAAATATTTGAAAGTATATATGCTATTTTATGAGGTAGAGCTTGCAAGTTTACTATCGGTTTCACTTTTGCAGCCAAGGAAGCTGTGCGGTTGACAATGTGAGACAATTTCCTTAATGTATATGGAGATTGCACACATTGCAAAATAACCACTTCCTCTGAACATTCCCATAAACAAGTTTAGCTGCTTCCGGTTGCATAGAGCAATGTAAACTATTTACAGTGCACTACTTAATGCTGCTGGTTCTGCAAACAGTGTCTTAGTGTCTCTTCTAACTGACACTTGTAATGTTTCATCAAGGTTTGTGTTTATTTTTCATTTAAATCGTAGGTGTATGGGAATACATTCCGAATTATGATTTATACACCTAAACCTCTTGAAGGTTCATCTTCTTGGTTCTTTCGGTAAAGTCACGTAGAATGGAAATAATAAAATAATAAAAATAAAACAATAAAATAATTCTCACGACGTTTCGGCCACAACGCAAGCAGCCGTACTCAGGTGAAAAACAGGTCTATCGAGAATACAGAGTCTGAATGACACCCCCAGGCTTGGAACGTCTATTTAAGCTGGGTTGGAGGGGGGGGGGGGAGAGCGCCTTGACAAAATAATTTGCATATCAAGATGAATTTAGCATATTTATGGGAAATGCAGATATGCGATTAGTACTACTTGTGAAATGCGTGGGAGGTGGACGGGGGGTTTAAAGTCATATTATGCCCGTGCATTATGCAGGATTAGCAGCATCAAAGGGAGGGGATAGGGGCAGCATTATTTTATTATTTCCATTCTACGTGACTTTACCGAAAGAACCAAGAAGATGAATCCCTGCAGTCACGAAAGCTTTAAATCGAAACTCTTGAAGGTTCACACACAGCATCATTAACCATGATCAATCCATTGTTGGATTAAGGGCTCCCCAGTCGCCACTATCCCTCACACACCCGTGATGCACCCATAACATTTGAAATATAAGCTGTGTGAGCATGAGTTATAAAATCTCCTAAACGTGACTGCAGGAATTACTCTTTGGTTCTTTTGGTAAAGTCACGTAGAAAGAAATTTAATACAATAATAATATAATACGACGTTTCGATTGCAACATAAGTAACCATCATCAGGTGTGTCTCATTGTCTATGTGTTGTCTCTCTTTCAAATTTAGAAATATTTGGAAGAACGTAATCAACCAGGTGGGGTGTTGACTGTTTTGTTGTCTGACTCTCTGTGTTATATTGCATTATATTTCCAGGTTTACTATATTTGTTTTCTCATTCATATGTACCTGATGATGGTTGCTTGTTGCAATCGAAACGTCGTATTCTATTACTATTTTATAAAATTTATTTCTACGTGACTTTACCGGAAGAACCAAAGAGTAATGATATTTTGGGCGTCACTGTTGTGCTGCATGCAGCAGCAATAGTCAGTGAACTTCAGAGAGAGCAGAATCAAGAGGGAGGCGTGGTACAAGCTTATTCCTCATTGTCTGTGTATTATGAATATAATATAGGGCGGCAGTGGCGCAATGGTTTAGCTCGCTGCACTCTAAAGCCAGCCACATGAGTTTGATACCTGCTCACGACCAATAACAGTGGCAAATACTTGAACTGTCGACTCAGCCCCAAATGAGTAATGGTGTGGTGTATAAACATTGCCACTAGGGAGCCAAAGGTAGCCAGGCGTGGTTCTGGCAACCCACCCCTTTGTGTGCCGTGCCAACCTTCTTAGGTACTCGCTAACAGCACTTCCCCCAAATGTCTGTTCAGGTTATACAGGGGATATTTATCTTTTGTTTGTTACGAATATTTCCAGCCCAATATTGACAACGAAATATGTTGGCTCAAAGCTATCTTTCTGTTTGTATTTAGTGACTGCTGTGACATTGTTTTGCCCATATTAAACCTTTCTGTGGTTCTGTGCCGTTGTAATAATAATAACACCTAGTATGATGTGACGCAGCACTTGATATACTTTTCAGGGTTTATAATGCATTTGTCTGCGGCATTTACAGATGTAATTTAAAACAATCTATTCAAACGTCCGCTTTATAGGTATGCGTATGTGTGTGTGTGGTTGTGGTGGTGATAGCGTCGGCAGAGCAGCCTGCATCGACAAGCCTCCCTGGGGCCCCAATCACGCCTTGCTGGGTGGTACCACGACTCCCAGGACATGGATAAATGTGACCGAGGTACAAATCATTACCTTCCCTGCACTTAGTGTCCCATTTGAGCTGAGTTTAGGCTCGCAGTACAGTCTGCTGCTTCATGTACAGCATATTCCAAGGCCAAAAAAGCAAAAAATAATTGGGCTCAATGGATTGTGGCATCATGAGACCCCCTTTGCCAGTACCAAAATCTGAGAATCGGTTTTCCCCTTTTTTATGGCAACAAAACAGGTGTTAAGATGTTAAAACACCAAACTGAAATCTTTTACAATGAATTATGTCTGCATTAACCACAATACTTGTGGTCAGAATGCAAACAAAAAACATGATCTGTTAATATATGCATTGTCTTGGAAACTGATTGGTCCACACCAGACAGCTTTCTTTCAAGTCCTAGTCTCAAACCGTGTTTGACCAGAGGATGCCAAAAGGCATGGTTAATGCAGCCATAATTCCTTGTAAAAGGTTTCAGTTTGGTGTTTTAACATCTTAACACCTACAATCAAGATTGAACTGCCTGTACGGGAAGGATTTCCACACATCTCAGACATGACTTCAACCGAGAAGATGGATGCAACATTTTGCAGTCTTTGGAAGGACGTTGATCAACCAGGTAAAGTGTTAACTGTTGTGTTGGCTGACTCTCTGAGTTGAATTACATTTCTAAGTTTGCTAAGTTTGAATCTTTTTTTTTCTTTTTTTCTCTCTATCACCTTGTTCCCTCTGTAAATTTCACCCACACCCTCTCGCCCGTTATGGCAGCCCCTCCCCCTCCCCTCCCTCCCCTCCTCGGATTAGCCGAGGTATGCTAGCTCTGCGATCTTACATTTACTTGGAAATTCCATCCCTAGCCCCGCCCACTTACCCTTGGGTTGTACCCACCACAAACGTATATAACCTTTGGTTGCAGTAGCTCTCGCGCTACATTCCTTCCTGCCTCAGCAGTCCACCTGCTGTATTGTTTCACCTGAAGACGATTGCTTGTGTTGGGATCAACGTTGTGATCTATTAGTTATTTTTCTATCTACGTGACTTTACCGAAAGAACCAAAGAGTATCTTAACATCTATTTTTGTTGCCAGAAAAAAGGGGAAAACCTATTCTCAGATTGTGGCATGTTAAAGTTAATCATGTATCATGTTACCAGCAATCTTAAGGTCACATGCCTTTGCTGGGCTGACATCAGAAGTATATATTTGTGGGAGCGATGTAATGGTGCGGAATTGATATTCTTTGGCTCTTTCGGTAAAGCCACGTAGATAGAAAAATAATAAAATATCACGACGTTTCGATCGCAACACAAGCAATCGTCATCGGGTGAAAAAAATATAGCGGGAGAGCTTCTGAAGCAGGATGTTATCTAGGCTTGAAATGGGTTTAGCCCAAGTGTAAGTGGGTGGGGCTAGAGATGGAATTTGCATGTAAATGTAAGATCGGAGAGCTGATATACCTCCACGACGATGCAGCTGTGGAGGTGGCCAGGTGGCCATTGTATTGAGAGATTAGCATGTCAATGTAAGCGAGCCACCGCAACGGTGGCTGTGCTAGTGAGACATCCAGCTCGTTAAAAAACGAGGGACACCGCCAACTCGAGCACAGGGAGCAACGGTTGCTGTGTTAGTGAGACATTTATCGCGTATGTAACTCGGAGAGTCGGAAATAACTGCTAACATCGGCAGGTAGGATGGAAACATCACAGCCAGTTATGACTTAAACTGGTTAATAACGTCCTTCGAATGATTGCTCAGTTTGTACCCATCTTCTCGGTTGAAATTGTGTCTGTTTATATATCTGGATGGCTTCATGAACGAATCTCTGTTGATAGCCAGTGGGTTTGCAGACTACCTTCGTCTTGGGAAAATCAATTTCGTGTGTGCCCACAGCGTTAAAACAATGATCAGCCACAGCTGAGGTATTGTCCTACCGTGTTTCAGATCTGCCTTATGTTCACGAAAAGTCCGAGACATGTCACATAGTTTCCCCAATGTAACTGCTGCCACAGACACAGCTTAGTTTGTAGACACCGGAGTATTGCATGTCAGGGATCATGTCTCCTTCACAAATGGGATCAGATCACGAATTTTATGTAACTGGGTTGAATCGAACCTGGATCTTGTGTTTGCTCATGATTTTGAAAATCTTTCCTGCAGTCACGAAAACTTTAAGTCAGGGTGTGGAATTGACTTCGACCTTCAGACTACCCCTCACAACGTCTTCCGTTGGTGGTATTAAAATGTAGATGAAGAGTATTTAACTCGGCATCCGTGTTTGAATTAACCTCATACATGCCTGCATAGGGAGCTCTGCCGCATAGGGAGCTCTGCCACACATGTAGCAGAACACAACGAATACATGCACGGGATTCATCCTCAGTGGCCTTGAATCTGATAAAAAAACATGAAAAAGCTCTCGTCGAAGGAATGAACCATGCATAAACCAGGCTTCGAATTGTATAATACAGTACTCAGCTACAGTACCCATAAGTGTGCAATGACCGCTTGTTTACATAGAGCTCATTAATGGAACACTGAAAGTAAACAATGTATGCATCATATACGATACAGCATGAATTACTCTACATTGAAATTTGTTTGAATTTACCGACAAAAAGCATCGTCTTTTCATTCATCCCTACAATATCTTTTTCATGAACACGATGCTTTTGAACACGGCGTGTTGCACAATTGATCTCTTTCTGTGTGTTTTTTCTCCCCCCCCCACCGCAGACCTCTTGCATTGCCAAAGTGGGCTCGGCGACATGGAGCGAATGCTGCACGGCCTCGAGAGTCTACACAAGTCACAGTCGGCCACCTCCTTCAGCGACATCCAGGTACCCCTGGCAGGAGGAACACACATGCTCAGCAAACAAAACACTGCAGGAGTGATGTCATGAATATCCGTCAATCACCCAAGAACCCTCTTAAGAGATTGTGCTGCACTGCACAGTGAATTATGCAGTGACCTTGTGCTGATCCCTAAGGTGTGTTGTGTTGTGCACAGACATTATTTTGGCAACTGAAGGGAGTGTTTTCCTGACTCTACTTTACAAGTTTTTGGATTTAACAGTGAAGGCGTGTAATGTTTGTTCATACGTGCGCACAATGCAAGTTGGCACAGACTGACTTCTGTACTCAGTGTGCAGGTGCAGGCATGCAGAGGTACTGTGTGATTCACTGTGTGTACATCTGCCACGGATGAGGCAAGCAAGTTTGGGCCATACTGACGTGCACATCCTGTTGGACCCCCACAACGCAAAACGCATAATGATATTTCCTGTGCACTTGTGTAAATGGGAATTGAGTGGACTTTCAAAGTATTTTCCATGTATCTCACACAGAAAAATTGGCATAAGTCAATTATTCATGCACAGTGCGAGTATCATGTGGGTTTATATTATATTTGACCAAAAAGCGAATATTGAAAATGCCAAATGACTTTTTAGCTGAGAATACAGCTGATGCATTTACCTGCTGCATGAGGATACTGTGACCTTTTTCTAAAGGTCAACGCCAACAGCACACCACATGCCAGACATGGATAAAGTTAAAGACCGTACTTAACCATTTCTGTGTGGTTATTCTGGCTATTTCGGTAAGAGGACAAAAAGCCATAGATGTTGAATGAGAGTTTTTATTTTATTTTACAGAGTCTATTGAAAGCCCCAAATTACTTAAATAAAATTTCTCACGTTAAAATCTTGATGAATACCAATCATCACCACCATCGTCATCGGCCATTGTATATCTGCTTGATGAAAGCCTCCTCATGATGTCACCATTCCTCATGGTCCAGTGTTATCAGATGCTTCCAAGCCTCAGATGACCCAATTTTTCCCCAGCCTAGACAGCTTGTATCTGTAAAAATATTGATCTGATAGAGCTGGATTACAAAATGTGGTGTGCTGAAAGCAACACAGTATGGTGCACTTGTGATGTTTTATAATTTACTTCAGTGAATAACAGTTGTGAGTTTCCATAACACAGCATGTTGGTGTGTTTGTGTGTGCTTTTAAGCCTCTAAGCAATTGCAAGATTGATGCAAGTATTATAAATCGCGTTTATCTTCAGTTTGGTTTACGCTGGCCCAGTTGTAAATCGTGACTAAAAGTCAACCAATAAAAATTCAGTCAGGTTCCTTAAGACCCATGTCTTAAGCTCAATTTAGAACAACATGGCAGTCAACCTTGGTTGGCTGATACTGACACACGGCCCATGATTCTTACAAGACTCAGCTGCAGCATGTCTGGTCTGTATAGTGCACTTCTGTGAGCGGCATCTAAATTAGAATCCAACTGTGACTAAATGGACATTGAACCGCCCTTACCATAAGTTAGCCAAATAGGTTGTGGTACTTTTGCAAGCATGCTCTTGCAAGGTGCAAAGAGGCTTAGCGAGTTGATGTTGGCATGTGCACTTGGTGGCGGGGCACTAACGCACTAATACGCTTGCTGTAGGCGGCATGCCTCGAGAACGGCAAGAAAGAGAAGCGTGTGAGCCGGCGGTGGAGAGCCAAGTCCTCCCTCAAAGATAACAAACCGCTGCTGCAGGTATCGCCGAGCCGCTGTGCTGAATCCCTGCTCACGCGCGGTGCTAAGCTTTGGTGTCCATGGTGTTTCTGGAATAACGCGTGGTACCCTTTTGTGTTAATACCGACGCACTGACCTGTTGCTGTGAAGCACACGCATAAGTGAGATGTCAATTTCACATGAAAACCCAACATTTTAGTCGAACACCTTCGGTATAAAAATTGCACAGCTTTGGATTAGCAGTTATGCGCATGTTTCACTGGTAAATGGTATCCATATTTGACAACAGTGCTTAACATTGGCTGTTTTTATCGATTTGGATATTCACATGGGATGCATTAACCAAAATGAGAACACGCATGCCGAAGAGATTATTTCCCTTCATTTCATCCTACATTCAATATGTAATCCAAACCGTATCATGTTATCTCATTGTATAGCAAGTAATGATATTTGTGAGGTCTTCGCTCCCCTTCTGACGCAGTAGCTTCGTCTGCGTGATGCTCCTCATCAAATTGTACAGTATTAATCTTCGGGTGAAGGAGCATTTATTTCGACGTCCATGAACACTGAGAGTATCTTTTGGCTTTCTCGTTTCCAGGTTCCCAACAGCATGCCCACATCTCCGCTGCGATCCCACGCCTCCAACCCAAACCTGGCGTCTGCGGGTTCAGATGCGGCCCTGGCCAACTACTCCACCAGCCTGTCAGACGGACTCAACATTTCACCCGAGCATGGGAGGCTTTGCCAGGACTTTTACTCCCTGGCACAGCGAGGTGCGTAAGATTCTTCCACACGGCCATGCAAACGTTTTAGATGTTGCTGGCTTATCAAGGCGCTCCTGCCTCATATCGCGTTTGAAAATTACTGCATTCAATTGCATGTTTAAGCAAAAACAACAACCGCTTATATTCATAATGTGCTCATAACGTAACAAACGTCTCAGACCTTGTAAATACAAAGGAGGGAATGGGAGGGAGGACTGAGCAAGGGAAGGAAAGAAATGGCCCAATTTATGGATCTGAAAAAACGGATGAAGAGGAAGGTGTTGAGCACAGACTTTAAAGCAGAGAGGAGAGGACCTGGTGGAGTTGCCTATGGGGAGAATTTCAGACGGTGGGGTCATAATAGCTTCCACCCATGGTGGAGCAGTGGATCTTTGGATCAAGCATTGTCGTGCTCACTATCTCTAGCTAAGTGTGCAGTCACAGATTTGTCAGGTTTGTTTTTTCTCTTCCATCCCCGTGCAGTGCACACGAGTCTGTGCGCAGTGCACATGGCACTCAGCTCCGAGCGGGAGAAGGGGAAGAAGCTCGAGCAGGAGTCACTGGGAGCAGGCGCCGCTGTACACTTGATGACTCTGCGCAAGTCTCTCTCGCAGGTAACAGACTCCACAGAACGACCTCTTGCACATTCACACCCCTCGCTCACAACTCACTTTCCAGTGCTTAACTTACGCTTTCTCACACACTCACAACTCTCTTTACAGTGCAATGTGAGAATTTGGGTTATCCATTGCAAAGCGAGAGCCCCAAGGTTTGTGGCTCTCTTACCTGTAAACATTTTAAAGGGGACAGAAATCAAGCCATTAATTAACATCTTTGCAACTGTATTAATAGGCGATTGTCAACCTCTCATATCACATTAGCAAATCAAATCAAATAAAGGCACCTAAGTCATAAATGATTAAATAAAGAGAGGCTATGCTAATTTTATGAATAAATGTTTTTACATCAATTTGCTCTGCACATTTGCATGAAAATATGTTTGAAACAAAAGCATTAGTCCTTGCACAAAGCAGTACTGCAGAGTTTATATTGGGAGTTATTAGGTTCTACGAACCATTCTAAAGTCAACGTTTTCACGTGATGCCCATCCACATAAAATAGTGCAGCATAATGGCAGCGCCCACTGATACTTGACTGCCAAGATCGTTATTCATTCTATTCATGTAGTGCCCACGATAGAATACATATATATAAAATCTTAAATCAATTCAGACTAAAACGAGCTGGATTTTTACTTTTGGCTATAGACAGGGTCCAGGAATACATTGTGTGGAGTGTAGCAGTGGCACGGTGGTTAGTGCACTACGCTATGAACCTGGTGACTTGATTCCCAGCCACGACGAACGTGAGTTACGAGTGATATCAGAACTGGTCTTGGGCCTGCCGTCTGTCGACGTAGCCTTTTAATGAGTGCTGGATACATTGTGCATACATCAGTCCTGGGGAGGCAGCCTTAAAAGGGCAAACGTTGGAGAATGACCACCACATAGATGGAGCAATGAGCTCAGCTCATACACAGGAGCAAGATGGATTGTTCCTTCACTGGACCGCAAGGGATCATGATGACATGTCTTCATGCAGAAGTGGATTTATAATGGCTGATGATATAGTGTATTTCTATCATGTATGTGTAGTATATAGTGCATTTATATTCTATATTGTAGATAGTGCATAGTGTAAAAAGCTGCCCCCTTGTATGTCATGTGCAACATCTGTTTAACCAAAATTGGTAAGGAATACATTTTCTATCCTGACACAAAAAACAATAAAAAAAAGGTTTGCACATAATTTACACTTTAAATTCTCGACTATTTCAGACATAGAGTATTGACAATCGTCTATCAGTACACCGAGTAATGTACATATTAATTATTTATTCCAAGAATGGACATTAATCTGATCAACCTGGAGTTTGTGGCCTGGCTAATCCAAACTTAATTAACTTTACTGTGCTTGTGCGCTGCTGTGCAGTGGCATGTCTTCATCTTTGGCACACACTGCGCACACTGTGGTTCGTGGGTACGCAAGCAGCTGCGGTCATGCGCATACACGTCTGTGTTGTCCCATGTCGCTAGGCGGTAGCACTCAATGTGGAGCTGACGAACCGCTTGAGCAGAATTCACATCGAGTCCAACCTGAGTGAGCTCATAGCAGCTCCCACTGGTGCAGAATTAGTGAGTGTTCAAAAATATCATAGACCATTCCATTTGCATGGAATTAAAACCTGTGTATGAACAGTGTATTTCTCAGTGAGCATGGAAATGCTTGTCCATTACTTGCAGTATATACTATCATGCACGGTATATACGCACGTGAATTATGTTAGTATGCGTAAACATTCTTTGACTCTTGAATATTCCAAAATATTTAGGAGCTGCTGATTTCTTTCGAATAAACACGTTTGAACATGCTAGTCCATTACATGTTGGCTACACTGGAAAAAGTAACGCATAACAGCTTATGGGCATTAACATGTGTTGAGAGGCATTAATCAAATACGCTGACTCAAATGACAGACAAGTGATGTGAAGTGCTATATGCGGCATGATTTATGTGTATCGTGTTTCAGTGAACAAAAATCACAGCACTTTTTTGTGATGACATCACCACTTGCTCTGCCTAACGCACATTAAAAGTCTGTTGCTCTTCATAATACTGCAACTCTAGTGGGACACTAAACACTGTTTACTAAACACGAATGTTTAGTACGCCAAGAATAAGCAGGATTATTTTTTGTTTTATATTTAGGATATTCAAGAGTCACACAATGTTGCATGTTCCAATAAACGTACTGTTTAATTTGCATTATATATTATCCAGCCATTCTGTATCCACTGCTACATTGTATTCTCCATAATGATGCCCAATCTGCATTCCTGTGCAACTGTATTCCTTATCAGTCCTACATGTTACCCTGCTTTCATAGCCCTATATCCACTTTGGTCATCCCTTCATGACCATTCCCTGCTGCACTTTATACATTGTATCAAACGGTTGTATGTGCGTTTATACAGCATGTATAAAATGCAAGCGTATATACAGTATATACATGATTACATATTATACTGGACTGTTTTGAACAGGATATTAAAGATATGCACACTTGCTCTTTCTATTTTCATTATCAATGTAAGAACCACTTGCATCAATGGATGTATTTGTTGATTAAAAGCTTTATAATAACCAAAACATAATGCTTTAAAATATTCTGAGTTATTCCTTCTCAAAACCTAACCGAACTTTGTGTGTGTTTTATTCAATAAAGATTTTACCAAACTATCATATTTCCCCTTTTTGGCCCTAATTGGTCATGTGCGAAATCACTGGCTGCATAGAGTGAGCATATCTTTAAGCGTTATAAACGGTACAACTGTCCGTACTACATTTATCAGTGCTGTCGAATTTCACACTGAATGATCCAATTGCAACAAGTCATAACATTGTCAAACACATGACTGAGTCTAATAAGACCTATCATTGAAGGAAGCCCCACACTCAAGAATAAGTGTTGTTTGGATAAAGTTATTGCAAAACTACATGGCAATCGCCAGTGTGCAGTAGCGTCCCATCATGGCTGTGTAACGCAACACTACCCACTCGTGTGGGTGTGGGCAACAGGCGACTGAGCGGCCGATGCTCGGGCGGCCTCTCCTGGCCCAGCTGTCTGAGAGTCAGCTCTCCGTGTCAGAGAGCGAATTCTATGATGCCCAGGAGGTGCTGCGATCCTCAAGCTCATCAGAGGTGAGACAACTGGCTGCACACCTTCACCCCTTCCTTCGGCAACTTCAGCTGGCGATAAAAGGTGCTACTACTGTCAAAAGGTTTTCATTTAATTCCAGGTGGAGAATTTACTCTATCCATCATCCTTCTGGGGTGTAACATTGAGAAATACTTTGTGGGAAGTAAATAGCGGTTGAAGAGTGGCTGAGTTCCATCCAAGGTGATAAGTGCTGTCCAATGCACAGATCAATATGTAATAAAGGACTCCTTCACACGATGTTGGTCTCCGTTGGTCCTTTATTGATGTTCTTCTCCTCACCCCGCTGGCCTCCTCCTCGGCCCAGCGTCGTCTCTCCTTGCGCCCCGCGCACTCTGCAGTTACCCTGCTGCCTGTGCAACCTTGGACCCTCTGCTAGCCCTCCGCTAGCCCTGCAGCGACTCTGCTGCCTGTGCAACCTCGCACCCTCTGCTAGCCCTCCGGTAGCCCTGCAGCGACTCTGCTGCCTGTGCAACCTCGCACCCTCTGCTAGCCCTCCGCTAGCCCTCCGTTAGCCCCGTGCAACCCGCACGGTCCCGCTAGCCACTCTGCTAGCCCCGTGCAACCTCGCACGCCCTGTGCGCCCCCGCACTCTGCTCTCTCCGCACCCCGCTGGCTGGCGCCGTCTGGCGAGCCCTATCAGCCTCACGGCTGAGGGCACGGCGGCCACCCAACGTGGTCTCCCTCTTCACTCCCTCGACTGCTCCAGATGTCTTCCGGTCTCCTTCCTATAACCTCTCCCACGTGACCCTGACTCCTCCCTCTCGGATCGTCACATCCGGCCTGCCCATTTACGCTCGGATTACAAATAGACAAACACATTGAGAATACACTACTGTCGATGGTTCCACTTTTTCTGGCTAAATAACCTAGTATGAGTTTATTTGTGTGCACAATGCCACCAAATAAATACTCATTTTCTTACAGAGATCTCTGACTTGGTACTGGAATTTATTACAGCACCACTTTCAGATGCTGTAAAAAAAAATTGTCTCAGGGCACCACGGTGGTGAGATGTTAGCTACCTCGCCTAGTATACAGGAGGTCGTGGGTTCGATACCGACCCTGATACCTGTTGTACATTTGGAATTTGCATGTTCTTCCCATAGTCACGTGGTTTTTTCTCTGGGTTCTCCAGTTTTTCCCTCCACATTTAGAAACATCCGTTTTAGAGTATTTGGCTGCTATAAATTTTCACATAAGCCACTTTGTTCAGCTATTATTTGTGGCCTGGTCACTTATTAAAAAGAGCTATATAGCTCAGCGTGCCTTAAATGGTAAAATATAAATTATGTTGAAATAGTTTTAGTTTATATTTGAAGTAGAAGTTAAGAGTCAATCATAAAATTACAAGTTAATTAAATACCATCACTATCAGGCTGACTGGTTATCCTAGTATCACTCCCACCACTCACCACCCAAGCTCACCTTTCCTCTCCCGGTATACACATATTCTCTGTTAACCTCAATATTTCCCAAAGGACAACTAGCTAAAACATCTAAATATTTATTGTTCTCTGTAACAGTAAAATAATCTTGTTTTTTTAGAATACGTTCACAGAAGCAGAAAATGTACACCTAAACTGTCAAGCATAACTGTATAGCAGTAATATTTTTCCTCTTGTCAAAAATGTAAAGTGTACACAGCTGTGAATCACTTATTCTTTTCTAATTTTGTTCTATTATTAGAACATTAATTGGGAGAATATAGTTGTTGCCCCTAAAGACTCGGTGGACGTGTAATTGAGGCCGCCGATTCCCCAATGGTTGCTCGCAAACCCAATTCAATGTGCACTGTGTCCTCCAAAGGCTACGGACGATGACGATTCGAGCATAAGTGATGACGTCAGCGACACGATCTCGGAGGACACAAGCAGCCGAGCCAGCTTCAAGTCTCAGCAGAGCAACGGTGCGTTCACGTGTGCACAACCTCGCCCCTGCCGTGACCTCGCTCACACCTCGATTTCTTACAGCCTGTGGAGGCTACTGCAGTGATTTACGCTCATGCACACACTTATAAAAAAATATTCTGATGGGAGTCCATCTGGCAAACTGGAGCACACTTGGATATTTGTATGGTATGTTGACTTTTGTATAGCCATGCATGGATTGGAAAGGAAAGAAAGTATGATGTAAGAAAGAATATGATGTAAGACATTAATATTGTTTTTTTTAACCATTGCTGCCAAGAAGCATCCCTGGATATATGCTGCATACAGTGGATATTTTTACTGTGCTTTGCAGGAAAATGGTCATGCTTACCCTCTGCATCCGCTTTGTGAAATACCTTTGTTAATAGATGTTTCAGATGAGATGTTGTGTAAGGTGCTCCGAGACGCCCCGGCGTATAGGACACTCTCTATATTTTCAAATAATAACGTTTGTAACAATAGTAACAGGGTTTTTACAACACTGATAATCATTGTATACAAGTAAATTATTCGTTGGCAGTGGGCTGGTCTATGACAAGCTAAAAAGCGGTGTTTATAAAAATACAAGAAAGTTGTATCTTAATAAAGCATAAAAATTTCCTTACGTAAAGATAATAAATGTATTCACCTCCAGGCTACTAGCGAAGGCAACTGCAGCAATGTGTGGCTGTGGTATTGATAAATGCTTCATCTTTTATGTGATACACGGCAGCCTTGCTTTTATATGTAATAATGTTTGGTCTAATAAGGAAACAGCTTTAAAAGCACCCAACCTTCCTTACATGTTGTGTTTATATGCAGCTCCGAGCAATCCAGAGACATTTGATGGCAACCGCGACTTTCAGACGGGACGCCGCATGCACCTGCCCGCCCCCGCGGCTGACACCAGCAGCATTGGCCTCTGGGACATCCTGCGCAAGAACATTGGCAAGGACCTCTCCAAAGTGGCCATGCCCGTGGAGCTCAACGAGCCATTAAATGTGCTGCAGAGGCTGTGCGAGGAGATGGAATACAGCGATCTACTGGACCGCGCTGCAGATACTGACGACCCAGCCCAGCGCATGGTACCTGCTTGTGCTTGCGATGCATACTTAGTGATCGTGCTTGTGCATGTGAGGCACGATTTGCTATTTTATGCTGGAACCTTAAATAGTTCCCAAATTTTAAAGCAACAAATCACTTTCTGTATTATTATCAACAAGGCAATGTTGAAGGCCCGGGCGTCTGTTTATTACAGACGAAAAGGTCAGTATAGCTCTCATAAATTATAAACCGAGTGCATGTTCAAGCACACAGGAAGTGGTTGCTCTTTTTACTATAAAATGTTTTCTAAAATATATATCTTACGGGCTATGTGTGCGTGCACCCTGTAAAATTTACAAGGCATAAGACACTGCATGAACAGTAATGAATATAACTGGTATGCATCTTTAACATTTAAAGAACACTCATGTGATTTGAATTTGTGGACAGTAGATCTCACTAATGACGCATTTCCAACACGCCTCAATACATCACATCCCCGATTTGTTTTGCCGCAATGCAGTCATCACTCCGTTATGCTAGCCAATCTCAACTTTGCTTACACAGGTGTTGGTGGCAACCTTTGCCGTGTCCACCTATGCCTCCACCATCTCCCGCGCTGGAGGAAAACCGTTCAACCCTGTGCTCGGCGAGACATACGAGTGCATTCGAGAGGACCGCGGCTTCCGCTTCATCGCAGAGCAGGTGCAAAAGAGATGGTTACGTTGCGACAGCCATGCACATGGATCGTTAGAGGACACAATAGAATAAAAGGCCAGATGAGCCATTAACATAAACATAGTTGGGCAAAGGTACACCAACAAAGGGTACTTGGCAGTATATGTTAGTAAACAAAAATGTATAGAATCCAAGTATAGTTACTTCCAAGTGATGATATTTTCTCTTGCGTAAAAATTGTTAATAGAGGAATGTTTCTTTAGCAAATTCTAGTGAATGCATTTCAACTAATGTTTTTTTTACATTATTTTTACCCATTGTACTGGTTAATTTTTTTGAAAACGGTGAATCCAGTATGTATATTAAACTTCATACGTATTTTGTTTTATTTTTATAATTTCCCTTCTACATGACTTTACCGAAAGAACAAGGAATATAATATTATTTTGTACCGTATGTAGCCAACCGTGCTAATCGCAGATGCGGTCATATAAAAAACAGTACAGAGTGATAAAATATAAGTCATGCTGTCTGAAATTTACTCTGCACAGTTTGTGTTTTTTATCCGTATATCAGATCAAGACATTACATTAATTTAATTGTGCTAACAGTAAGTTGCATGCTTTGATCAGCAGAATTTGAATTATGCTGTTTTTCCTGTTCCTGGTCTATCTTTCTAGGTCAGCCACCACCCTCCAATTTCTGTCTGCCACTGCGATTCAAAAAAATTTGTCCTCTGGCAAGGTGAGTTGTAGAATTGGATTTGTAGTTCATCTGATTGGCTTGGCATCCTGTACAAAGCTGTTAAAGCTATGAGGTTTTGTCACCTCAAGTTAATTCCCTTTATTCGTATTGCAACAAAATTGTTTCTTTTTTGTGTGTAGGTATATTTACATAATAAATATACGAATTTTGCAATACAAGTTGGTCGTTGTTATAACAATCGTTGAGGACAAATCCATGTATTATGACGGCTCTATGTTTAGCTGAATATCTCTGAAATCTTATCCTGTTATAATTAAACTGTCTTAGTATTGTATATGTAAATTGATTATTGTGATAACATTAAGCTGTCCATTGTTCCTTTTTTTATAAATTCACAGAACACAGTTTTGTAAGGAAACCTTTGTATATAGAGAAAATACATTTCCATGCCATCTCCTTGTAATGGTAATTAATGTTTTAAAATCACTTAAATATTGAACTAAGAGTCGAAACTGCTGAATGGTGGGAAAACCCCTCGAAGAACATGCAATGAAAAAAAAGTTAAAATTCTTAAAAACCAGTGTTTACATTTTCCAGAATTTGTAAATAATATTTTATTCGATGGGGAAATAATGGAAACATAGCATGCATAAGTGAACAGGAGAGATGTGATTTGTGACGATATGTTTGCACGCAGATGTGCGTCTGAAGAACAAGTTCTGGGGAAAGTCGATGGAAATTATCCCTGTGGGCACAGTGAATGTCAAGTTGCTCAAGTGAGTGTTATTGCCACTTCCTGCTGAACAACCTTCACGAAACAATGACTTCTCGTTGCTCATTAACTCACAGAATGACAGATGCTAAGCATGAGAAGAACGCTATATTGTTTGTAGATTTCTTACTGTTTCGGTGCTGTTCCAATACTTGGGCATGCCATCCCAGGTATGGAGATGAATATGAGTGGAACAAAGTGACCTCCTGCATCCACAACATTATGGGAGGCCAGCGCTGGATCGAGCACTACGGAGAAGTTATCATTAAGAACAAGAAGAGCAATGTGTGCCAGTGCAAGATCAACTTCATCAAGGTACCTATATGGCTGCCTAGTCACAGCACTCATTACTAACTCAAAGCGACAGAGTAAAAAGTGGTTCTCCGCCCTGGTCTAGGCAAGTTACTGGAGCTCGGAGGCAAACCAGGTTCAAGGCACCGTGACGGATCAAAACGGCCATGTGCTGCACCGCCTCTTTGGCAAATGGAACGAGGGGATGTACTGTGGTGCTCAGCGCTCAGCACGCTGCATCTGGAGGCCAGGTAAACATCACATTGTACAACTGGTGAGTCCCAATAAGGATGAAACCGGTCCACATATATCTACCACTGCATCGCTGTTGCTGTCAGTTGGTCACATTGCTAAGTTATTTTGATGGTGATGAAAGACAAGAGGATTACAATGCATATCTTCTGAAAAGGGATGTTTTTGTGTATAATACACAAAGGCTAAGTGCTTTTTACACCTTTTGTGTCTTGCTTTAATTTAATAAGAAAATAGTGGCGTTGAGGTTTGTGCTTGCAGAGGACAGGGATAGTGTATATACTTCACTAAAATACATACATTACCCCTACAAGAGACAAAATATGGCTAGCATTACATTATTATATTTATGTAAGTGGTAGCTTCTGACAAAAATATTTTCATAAAATTTTAATTTTCACCTTTCCAGAAAAAAATAACCATCCAACAGCCCCATAACTCATTATGACATAAATTATTCCACTCCAGTTGAAAGCACAATGACGCCAACACCTCCCCCATCATTCACTAAAATAACCTCGACTACCACTGCACTAAATACATCCACCAATGCCCCCAGGCTCCCTGCCCCAGGATCACGAGCTGTACTACGGATTCACGCGTTTCGCCATCGAACTCAACGAGCTCGACCCTGTGCTGCGACCACACCTTCCTCCCACGGACACGCGTTTCCGACCTGACCAGAGGCAAGTCTCATTCTACTTTCTCCTGACAAACTTAATTCAGCGATTACAAGATGCGCTGTTTTCTGGCCATAAATGTATAAAGGCGTACCATAAAAAACGTGTTTTCCTTCCCATGCTATTCCTCCAGCATTGGGCTTATGGTTTTGTTCACCTGAACATGCCAACTTGTACTTCAAATGTGTCAACAGATTCCTGGAGGAGGGCAATGTGGAGTCTGCCCAGCGGGAAAAGCTGCGCATCGAGGAGTTCCAGCGCGAAAAGCGCCGCCTCATGGAGGACAAGAACATACTTTACACACCACGCTTCTTCAGGTGTGTCCCACATCCCTTCCACGACAGTGTCAAATACCACTCTGCATTGTTATGATGTATTTTGACAAAACTGAGCTGTGTGTTTAACAGAGCTTTGCTAAAATGTATTACTTTCTCATACACCTATAAGCAATCATTTTGGTATGGTATATTTTATGTTAGGGGGAGTTTGATGGATAATGCAGGAAATTACTATTGAAAGAGGCTCTGATGTGATCACACATTACATATGTCATGTAATTAAAAGCAACAAACACAACTTCTGAGTCAAAGAAAACCACAGAAGAATAAATGCACTCAAAGCTTTCGAGTAAAAAAAAAATGTGACAACCAAACAAATCGACATCTTCTATTGTTTTAGAATTTCTTAAAATATTGATCACACACTGAACTTTGTTTTGTGTCTCTTGATTGTTTTTGCAGAAAAAATATTACACATGACAGCCGGGAGGAATGGCTGATGAACAACACGTACTGGGAGCTCAGGAAAGATCCAGGATTCAGCAAAATAGACAATCCTGTCCTCTGGTGACACAGCACAAGGAGAACATAGTGAAGCCTAGGCTTTATCGAGCTGCATTTTACTATGTTATCCTTGACATCCAAAGTGCAACTTTACTTCTAGGCATATCTTTTGCGATGAGGGAATAAATATGCAATTATCTGGTCCCAAATATGCATGAGTGCGTTACTGAAGATGGATGGAAATATTTGGTGATTTTAAGAAAGGTCTCAATATTCCCTACCCTAAACCTAACACAGACTGTAAGAGCATGTAACCAATCATTTGAAACGGTTGGATAGTCTAAAGAGAGTAGGTTGTGGTTTTATGGATTAACAATATACAGTGATACCTCGGTTCACGAACTTAATTCGTGAACTGACTCTGGTCGCGAACCGAATTGGTCGTGAACCGAGGCACATTTTACCATAGGGTTCAATGTAAATCCGGTTAATCCGTTCTGACCTTTCTTTTTGGTTTTCGAAGCACAAAAATTTGAAACAAATTACAATACACATTAGTACTGTACAGTATAGTAACGTATAAAGAGAGAACACTAACCTTGCTTGAGATGACTTCAGTAAGCACTCAAACGGGTGAACTGTACAATACAGTAAGTACAGTATTGTACAGTACAGTAGTACAGTACAATACTGTATGTGCTAAAAAGCACACCAAAAAGCTAAAAGTCACTTGAAGTGTCTTCACAGTACTCACAGTACTTCTTTCTGTGTCTCTTCTTCTCTCCACGATCTTCCTACAGGAAGTCACGACCATGTGACAGCCTGGAAATAGCATTAAAATGGCCGCGGCTCCTGTTCGTGAACCGAAGCGGAGTTCGTGAACCAGAGCATATTTTTATGAACTTTTCTGTTCGTGAACCGAGTTGTTCGTGAACAGAAGCGTTCGTGAACCGAGGTATCACTGTATTGTAATGTAGAATTATGTAATGACATTGCAGTGTAATGGCGTTAATCGGCATACTGCAAGTGATATGTTGAGTAAAAATGTATTCAAAAGCCAAATAGACACCAAATATTCTTGGGTCTTTTGGTAAAGTCACATAAATAGGTTCAAAGAAAATAATCAACAATAAAACTCCGTTTCGATCGCCCCCCCCCCCCCTTTTCCTGAAGACGACCGCTTGTGTTGCGATCGAAACGTCGTAGGCTGTTATTTTTTTTATTTGAACCTATCTACGTGACTTTACCGAAAGACCCAAGAATATGACTTCCTGTAAGTCACGGAAGCTTTAAGTCGAGACACCAAATTATTTCATTTTTAGTTTTCTTGGCAAAAGGGCTTGAGGTAAAGCACAAATGTTTCAATTACTTTAACCATGTTCCAAAATGTCATATGCCCTCTCCTGGAATAAGATATGCATATGCTGTATTTATATTTAATCTAACATATTAAATCAGTCTTTCTCTGAAATCGTCTTAAATATTTATGGGGAAGTATCTTTTTTCTGGGCCTGTGTAATTTACATTATCTAAAGTATACATGGTACAAACAGGTAACGTACATCCTAGATGTGACTACTTGCCTGTACTGTCAAAATTATTGTAGAGAATTGTATATCTAGTAAACGCCCAAGCACTTGCTTGCAAGAATTTGTTTTCAGCAGCTATTTATATTTAGAACCTGTAAGTGGTGTATTGGCATTCAATAAAACGGCTGTGGGATAATAATGCATATGCTAAATAAGCAGGTATTTTGCAGTTATAGGAGCAGTACTAATTGGAACTATTCTTAACACAGGTTACAGGTACCTGTACTTGCCTGGAAACACTATACTGTATTTTTGTAGCAAACAACATGTCATGGTTACAGTCCATGTTCCAGGTAAACAAAATATAAAGTCTCAATTGACATTGACCATGAGCAATTGTATAAACCCCGTGAAGATCCTGCACACGATGCATTCCAAAGTGATTTTTCTCCTGTGGTATTCGCCAAATACACATGGTGAAACAAAAACCTTCCTATGGCTGTAAAATTTTGGAAAGTGTTTACTGCATTTACAAATCAACCTTATGTCGGGACCCCATAAGCCCCCGGCTCTCGCGTAAACTGCGTTGCGGCGTCATTTGATGTCTGTTGAAGGCAAATGATACGGCAATCTATTCCTTTCGACGAGCTCCACACGATGCGCTAATCAAAGTTTAAAAATGTTGTTTCTTCTGCGCATTCCTCCTCGCTGCGCTTGGACGGGATAACAGAATGATCTGCGCCAGGTGGGACGGAGTCACCAAAAATGAATTGATTACGATTTTGACTTCCGTTTATTCGGGACCCCAGGGTCCTGCCATGAGGTTAAAATTATAAATTTTCACTCGAACTAAAAACACCTGTTTCTCTGATGCACTTATGGCTGGTGGTACCGAGCCAGTGATGGGAATTCCGCATTGTTACATTAACCAGATTTTCCATAGGACAACCAAAATGAATATTCCACAAAGTGGCACTCTTTGTATCAACCCCAAAAGGGATAGGTTAAAAGAGACAACAGAACTTGTAACAATCCATCTTTACTTATAGCAGACTATACCGCAATACAAGTGCAAGGCATTAAATGTTACTCTTATAAAAGGGACACCTTGTGTGAAATCATAACTTTAAAGACCTTTACTTTACAAACACAGCATACTTGAAATAGTTACTGCCAGACCTATGACGATGTTCTTGCCATGCGTTTCATATGTAGCTAGAACCACAGGTGTGGTTGTAGATACAGTATTGAACTATGCTGTAGATCATAGGATTCGTTTGTATATGATATTTGGCTGTGCCTTTCTTAAGTGCAATCTTTGGGCTGTTTACAATAAAGTACATCATAAAAACTCCTGCAACTTATTCTCTTGAATTGGTTTTTCAATAAATCTGAAAAATATTCCTCAACTATAGCAGCATTTTTATATTATAAATAGCCATAACCCTGTAGAAACAATTAAGTTTAGTGGAATAGCGTGATAATTCAAAATTATTTAGGGTGCACCATATGTAGTGTTTACATTTGTAATACTACCATTTTTAAAATGTATTATCAATAATTGGGAATGCAGCACTGGTCCACTTTGAAGTTACTCTGCACTTCGAGTTCATTTTGGCTTCCTGGCCAGCATCAGTGGCGAGTAATATGAACTTGTTCTGGACACGGCCTTCATTAACCCATACTGAGAAGCCTGGTCACACGGTCATACAATCTCCATCGTCAGACAATTTATATTTCGAACCCAAGATGGGTAAACTGCTTTCCAACCTTGTAATAGAAGTACAAACATGCACTCTTTAGTTCCTTACAAAATTAAGTCCAAACTGGCCAAAATTATGGTAATGGTATCACGTATTGCTTTCTATTGTAAAAGAAAAGATCCCATGAAATCCGTAACGTAAATATGTCATTTATTATCCCATTCAAAGAAATCACTAAACCACTTGATTAAGGCCTCAAATAAAGGAGTAAAAACAATATTTCCATTGTGAGGATTGCTTGTTTGGACAGCGCTTGTTGAAATGAGGCTTTAAGAAAACTAAAACTATATCTTACACTTAACACATACATTGTAAAACCATAACTTAGGAAGGCCATGCAAATATAACAAGTGATATACACAACATTCACTGGACAAATGCAGTTCAAAGGAATGAAATTGTAAAAGTTTATTGAACATTTTCTATTCGTGCCATGAGACTAATTTCACTTGAGCATTCACGTTTAGCAGCATTCCTGGTGTTAAACACCAACATAAGAACTAATATAAAAAAAAAACTAATACTAGATTTCAAAAATAACTCCTTGGCAGAAAATGAGAAAAATAATTTAGTGTCGATTGTTATGAATAGCAATGCTTTCTTATGAACATTTTCACTTGGTTTCAAAAACGATATGCACGTGCTCGAGGTAGTCACCATGGGTGCATGTACGGTAATCCATGCCATCAAGTTACTGTAACATAACTTGTCAGCATGTCTGCTCTATCTACAACTACTATTATTTTTACCATCGCTATGTTGCCACCACTCTTTTCATTACTGCTTGCGACCAGCCATGAGCTTGAGATACTGCAGGGCACTATAGGCTGCTTTAGCATGGGCCTCACCAAGAAGATTTCCAGAGCCATGACACACAGCCACTGGTTGAGTGGAGAGCTCCACCAAGCACTGACACCTTCCACTCCGGCTCATGTCTGGACATGGAGGGAAGGCAGCAAGTGGGAAGAAGACATGCGCACATACTTTTTAATGTATATATAAAAGGCTCACGAGCCTGATTTATATATTATCAATAACACTCAATATTTACCCATGCTTTAGTATAAACCAATGTTATTAGCAGCAATTGCACTTTGCAAGAGTTCACAATGAACTGTGCCTAACTCACCCAGATCAAAGTACGTGATGTGGAATCGCTGCTCATGGGCAAGCTCCTGCAGCAGCTTGCAGTAGCCGTCACCCAGCGCGTCTAATGGAACCTTCTTCAGGTAACCGATTTTCTCCCCGGCAGAGTTTCTCAGCGAGTCCCAGGTGCAGCCCTGAGTGACCTTGCCCCGTGAGCCACACGCCTGCAGCAACATGGCAACATCTCTCAACACCCACTCATCGACTTTACTGCAACCCAACAGTAATGCCAATAGTATAATAAAACTGGATAAATGTAACTTGTTGTTTTCCTGGATAAGTGGGAACTACGAAAGAGAATTCGTATTAAAACTCCTCTTGACAAGCTTTGAAAAAAAAAATATTACCTGTAATAGACTATAAAGGATTTTCACACCATACAAGTGCTTACAACACCGTGGCAGCAGCACGTTCTAAGGTTTTATCCTTGTTCTCAACACAAGGTTGTAGCTTTGTTACAAACGCGACAAAACGTGTAAATGCATGCGCTGCATTGATAAGGTAGCAAAGCACAGCAAGTTTGTAAATCCCTCCCCAGCTACATGAAGTTACAATAGACAAATGTATAATCCATATTAGACAATGGCAACAAGTTCAACATTCAAATGAGACTGCATCCTTGTTCTGGTTAAGCATAACAAACTATATGGTGAGTGCACAAATAACAAAATACATTCATTAATTTTTTTTTTAACTGTCTTAAATGTAAATATATAGTAGGCAAGTTTCAAGTAATGGCCTTTTTCCATGCATAAAACAGAAAAGATAAATGCAATGTCTTTCAAGTCATTTTGAAGATGTAGATGACAAACCTGTATCATCTCTTCTTGGCATATTTGCACTTGTGGTAAGACTCATCCCTCAAATGTGTAAAAAATAACCCAAGCCCATTCTACTTTGACTGCAACACCTGATGACGGACGCTTGTGTTGCGCCCGAAACGTGATTTATTTTATACCTACGTGACTTTACCGAAAGAACCAAAGAGTATGAATTCCTGCAGTCACAAAAGCTTCAAATCAAGACTAAAAAAACCGTTCCGCAAATCAGTCAAGCCAGAGCCATGACTCCGCCTGTGCTGATGTTTATATATCTGAGAATAAGACCATGGGACAGAACTCCTGCTACGATATTTACTAAGAGCTCCCATACAAAATGTAATGTCTTCTGTTATTGAAATACAAGATATAAAAACAGCAGGAACTCACGGTACAACTGTGGGTAATACAAAATAAACAAAGAAAAGCCATTTCTGCAATCAAAACTCTTGTAAAATGAAAATTTGTATTGTTAGAATTGTCACTCAGCATTGTTGTGATGTATATTTGTTTAAAAGAAAATATGTAAGCCTATTTAATTTAACAAGTGCTCCAGTCGAGACTGAATCTTTTAGCATGATTTAAAACCCATTTTTATTGTGTCAATACGTATTTTATGCCAGTATAAAAAAAAACTACAGCAATTTTTAAATTTCCATTGGTTTAAAATACATGTCATTAATAAAATTACAAATATCACATGTTTGGTTTAATTTTGTTTTTAAACCAGGATTTAATATTACAAATAAGATTTAAATAGCGTGGGTTTTATGTCACAAAATATGCTTCAGTTTGTGTATTCCCCAAATGTTGGCCCCTTCAGGGTCAATGAGCATCCTTTATTGGCATTACAGAAGTGGTTGTCCTACTGAAAGCCTGCCCACTTCCATAGGATTGTAGATTTTCCAAATCTCACATCCATCAATAGAGACGAGGCACTGCCTCACACTTGTTTGATCAAGGACACAATTTATATTATCTTCCAGATATTGCAAATACAATATATGCCTTTTGGCATTCCCTGGTCTAACACCGTTTTGAGACGAGGCTCAAAAGAAAGCTGTCTCTGGTGTGGACCAATCGGTTTCAAAGACTGCATATATTATCAGTGTTTTTTTTACAGACATGATTCCTTGTAAAAGGTTTCAGTTTGGTCTAACATCTTAACACCTGTTTGTTGCCAGAAAAAAGGGGAAAACCTATTCTTATACCATGATTGTCATTAACTGTAAATAATGCGTTTTAAAATGCCTTTAGTATACATATACATTAGTTTCCAAAGTTATGTAGGAACCTTATCATTTTGGATGCAAGTCAATGGATTTTAAAATCAGTTTCATTTTCATGCCACGCAATAATATTCTTAGTATTTTGATACCTAACCCCACAACCTCAAACATGCTCAGCTGCTAACCAGTGGTGCATGGTCTCCATCGTCACATTCAGCTTCAGCAGCCTCCCGCCTTTCCGGAACCAGGTCCCGGATCCGTGTTAGCATCTGCGCTGCAGCATTCCTTTTGGCCAACTTCTTTGAAGTTCCACTGCCTGAGCACAACATTAATCAAAATAAACAGACAACTAATATAGTAGTGATACCACAATTAGAACATATTCAACCAAAACATTTACAGAATATGTATTGGATTATTGTATGTTTGAATGATAGCTTTATATTTATTTCACTGTAAATTATCACTTGCATTATTTTAAAACACATATCTTGGGACCCACCTGTTTCTATGAAGCTTTCCACACGGCAGGTCATTGTAAATTCCTTCCTGTGTGCGGGGCCAGATTCGTGAGTTACCGTGTACTCCGGGAGACGCCAACCTTTCAGTACCACCAGCTCCTACAATTAGACAGGCGGCACTTTAGTTTACAGTGCTCGTACACAGTATTCAGGATTAAAAACAATTCGATAGTAATTGCACTAAAAATCTAAAGTATAAAGCAATAAATAACACTGTAATTGTCTGCCAGCAAGATACAAAATGTACAAAAGGAAATTGTTTGCAATTCAAAAGATATTTTTTCTATAAACTCACTTTATATTCTCATCACACATTGGTAAAGTGTTAATTACATGCCAGGAAATATAAAAACAGACCTGTAATGCACCAACAGGGTTGTTGTCCGAGTTTGGCTGAGATGGCAAAGAACTTCCATTTTCAACGTGAACCAGACTGCAGGATGAGATGAATTTAAATACAATTATGAGAAATAAACAACCACATTTACCACAAAAATAACAATAACTGAAAATACGCCAATACTCAATATTATTCACCTGTGGCCGTTGTCACATGAAGCAGCGTCTCCCTGCATTGATTCACATTTCAGGATGTTCAGGGCAGCTTCAGCTGCTTTATGCTTGGCTGCCTTCTTGCTTGGTCCCTGTCCTAATGAGAAACAATGTTAATGTCAATACACGCACAAAACTGAATAGATGCAGAATACAAAATAAATACTGGAATATATAAATGCTAATTGCAGAGGTATCAAACGTTTGCACATATCCAAAACAGCACATTCACCCAAATACTCACCAATGCAGCTCACGTCACCAACGGAAACCCTGAAGGTAAAGTTTGGCTGATGTGCCTGACCCTCGGCCTTCAGTAAATCATACACGGGGGTTTTTCCGATCCTGGTTCCGTACTCTTGCAGCAAACTGATCGGAGTCTTTCCAGGTCCACCAGACACTCCCAAGTCAGTGCTATTTTATATGAAAGAAAAATGTACAGAAAATAGATAAATGTACAGAAAACCAGACATTAGCAACATCAATTAAAAGTGATTACATCAAATGTTTGTTGTAATTGAGTTTACTGTAAAAAATATATATACATGTATTGTATGCATAATGATATCAAGGCATGCATAATGTGTGTGGTGAGGTTATGACAAGGTGGAGCCAGAGGGATAGATATCAGGGATGTTTGTGTGGGGGGAGGGGGAAACGGGCGCGGCTGCAGAGAGGAAGCACAGGACACAATGGAGACCTCGTGTAAACAAAGCAGGAAGTGACCAACTCTCCATACGTTACAGCATCCCTGACTCTAGACTTTATCATAATGTCCCCTAACACTAACTTAACTCTCAACCCTGAGCCACAACCTGAATTTCACAAAAACACTATATAAATGTAACCCTAACCCCGATCGTTTACTCTAAATTAACTAATCTAACTACCCCGGACCGAACACCTAACCCTAGCCGATCCTAAACCCCAGCCCTATCGCAAATCTAACCGTATCCCTTATCTAACCCAAACCATATAGATAACCATTTGCCAATAGCCAGCTATAGGCCCAATGTAACCTTAGCCCTAGCATAACCACAACGCTAAACTACCCCTAAACTACCTCTACCCGAGTATAAGATTATTATCCTAAATATAATCCTAAAACCCCCTAACCCTCATCTACCCCTACCCATAAACGACTTCTACCTGTAATAAAGCCCTACCTCTAACCTAACAGTCCACCTCTTTAACTCTACCCATAACCTAACTCAGCACGCTAACGGAACCCTACCAGTAAACGATCTCTGCACCTAATCTAACCCTACACCTCGGCATAGTCCGTACACCTACACAGAGCCTCTACCCCCAAGTCTGACCCTGCCCCTGACCACCATCAGCCAGGTTCCACGCAGGCCCCGGGCCTCGCGGCTCCGCGCCGTGCCCGCGATTGGGGTCACCTGGCGCCGCTATCGTCGGCGGTCCTGGGCTCGGAGCTGTGCTCGCCGTCTTCGTCGTCGTCTCCGTCGTTTTCCTTGTCGTTCTCGTTCCTTTCGTCGTTCTTCACCTCCTCTCGCTCGGGGACCTCGTCTCCATGCTCGCTCATTGTTGCACCTACTTAAGCCGGGTACAGTGCTCGACGGCGGCCGCGAGGGGACCCGCGGCGCGCGAGAAACGCGATTCGTAAATGGAGACTTTAAGGATACGATGCATCGTCGTCTCCTTCGCATTTCGTGTCTTTCTCTCTCTACGTGCACAGCTAATTTATAAAAGTGTTTCTTTAGACAGTTACGTCGTCGCACCACCCCCCCCCCCATGGGCCTTCCCGAGAGCGCATACTTTTAAAAAAGTTGGCTCCGTACAAACAAAACTGTGCACCGGTTTCGACGCCCATTGTCTCAGCAGCAGTCAGGCCTCTTGCAGCAAATGCTGGTGAACTAATTCTAGATTTGAAGCTTTCGTGACTGCAAGGATTCATACTCTTAGGTATTTTTCGGTAAAGTCACGTAGGTTAAAAAATAAGGGGGGGAAATAATGAAAATAAATAATAAAATAATTACAATCATAATACAAATAAAATATTTTTTTATTTATTGTATTTACTTTTACCTACGTGACTTTACCGAAAAAACCTAATAATATGCTGGTGAACTGCCAGATGGAGTTGGAGGCAAGGGGGCCATCCCCCTCTTTAACAAGTTTAAATATAGGTCCTCGTTCGGAGAAAATTTATATCATGCATAAATCAAAGGAATAATTATTTTAAAAATATAAATAAAAAATATAGGTAAGCAACATTTATCTGCGTTTATATGTTGTCTATTGTGAGTTTTAAACCAAGGGATATTATTAGCCCCTTGCAGCAATAATGAGTTCGGCAACATGCGGCTCCTTGAGGACTGCTTCGTGACTTTATCTATTAAGAACCAACCATCTCGTACTCAAATACATCGCGGCTCTTAAAATGTAACGTTTTTAACCCAATTGGAACAAAAAAATGTCTCTTCTTATTTTGGTTGCCGACCCCTGTTTTGGACATAGGGCCAAACACGTCAAAGCGGTCAGCAACAAACAGCACCGTTATCAAATTGTAAGAGATACGACGTCCAAAATAATGACCCACGGTCAAGAATAAAGATGGACACCCTGCCAATGGATGGAACGCGTCCCAGTGCACGTCTACCGAGGAGATGGAGCGATGACATCAGTTGGTGTGCAGAGATCACCCGAGCAGCGGCTCACTGGCTAACACCACGCTTTAAGATGCGCTTCTGCGGCCGTCTGGAACGCTCTTCCGATATTACGAAGCCCCTGGAGCTATCCACTTTTAAAATCATCTTGGTCCAAAACACAGAAAAGCTGTCTCGGGTGTGGACCTATCAACTTCAAGGACAGTGCTTTTCATTGTCAGAGTTGTTTCTTTTTGTTTGCATTTTGACTGCTTGTGTTGTGGTTATTGCAAACATGATGCCTTGTATAAAGGTGTCAGTTTTTGTACCAGTTTAAAGGGTAAAAACCTACTCTTATAAAGGGAGACATCTCTCACTCGGATGCCTTCACAGATGCCCCGAGGCCTCCCCGAGGCACAAATCAGACAGGTGTTGCAGCGGTTTCTAATATGAACAACGTAAAATGGTAGACGAACCGTGCATGCTCATCAGGTTGTATTGATCCATTGGTTACGATCGATTTCTCAAGAGGTTCCGATAATGCATTAAATCCCGTGTGTTACATGTGTAGTGGAGTAACGCGCGCGGGGTTTTACAAACAGTGTGCACGCATGTGTGAGCTGCGGACAGTGAAGTCACTTCAGGGCAAACATGTGCGGAGAGAGAGCAACCAGAGAATGGTGACCAATTAAGATGCATGGCAGTGATTGGCTGGCTGAAAATGCAGACACGGAGTAGGCGCCTCGGTGGCGAGATATTGAGGCGATAAGGGGGAGAACACGTGCAAGAGGCGTCGGGACAACGCCGGATTAATGATGGCCATCTGGTGGCACCTAATGAGGAGGAGGATGAATAGGGTACGTGTGAGGCAGAGAAGTTGAGTTGGTTGGAGTGAAGACAAGAGTGAACACAAGAGAAGTCTGGGACCCCGCTCTCCACATCTGGTCCTCTCCAGCGGTGTTGGCTGATCCCCCGCTAGATGCAAGGGCGAGGTTGGAGGAGTGAGGGTAGACAGGCTAGCAGTAGAGAGACTAGCGGAATCCGAAGTGAGAGTGGGAGACAGGCTAGCAGTAGAGAGGCTAGCGGAATCCTAAGTGTGAGTGTGATGAGGCTAGCAGTAGAGAAGCTAGCGGAATCCGAAGTGAGAGTGGGAGACAGGCTAGCAGTAGAGAGGCTAGCGGAATCCTAAGTGTGAGTGTGATGAGGCTAGCAGTAGAGAAGCTAGCGGAGTATATGGTGAGAGGCTAGTAGTCGAGATGCTAGCGGAGTGTAAAGTGGGAGGCTAGCAGTGGAGAAGCTGGCAGAGTGCAACATAGAGGCTAGGAGCGGAAAGGCTAGCGGAGCGAGAAAGAGTAAGCGAAGCGTAGCAGACGAGCAGTACAAGGGGAAGAGTTGCAAAGAGGCTAGCAGTGGAAAAGCTAGCAGAGGATACTGTGACAGGCTAGCAGCGGAGAGGCTAGCGGAGCGAAAGAGAGCGAGCGGAGCGTAGCAGACCAGCAGTACAAGCGGAAGAGTTGCGACGGAGATACGTGGTGTTGAACGCGAGGAGTTCTGTACGAATAAAGTGACAGGAGAAAAAGGTGTCCGCGTGAAATAACACCACTACACATGTAACGGGTTCGCGTGACCCATGCAGTCACTAGAGGTCGCTATATTCACCACTTGCAATTAGGTGTCTCCTTTAATACGTAGGCTTTCACGACCAACATTCATTATACAAGTTTTTTGTAATATTTTAGATTCCTGCCGTTGTGCTCTCGTCAGTGCTACATATGTCTATTGTCATTTACATAAACAAATTGATGGCATGGCATGGATCAGAAACATGGACATTGACAAAGAAAATTTATCAAAATCTGAAAAGCGGTCAAAGAAAGATGGTACATAGATGGATGCTTGCAATTACAGGGGTACCAAGAGAAACGTGGATTTTATAACACACAAAGTCATATATTCCTGTCAAGGAGTGGTCAGAACACATTGCAAGAAGGAATGACGGCAAGTAGTCGAGACTAATTCGCTCGTGGCAGCCAACGCAGTGACATCCACCTCAGAGATGGAGCGATTAAATGAGCTCGTATGCAGGAGCTAGATGGATTGTTAATGCTGCTGAACCATAATACATTTGGTAACGGTTTGGGGAGGCCTTCAGCTGCTGATGACGAATGTTATGATAAACCGATCTTGTTTGTACGTTTGGAAATATACGTTTGGATAGTGCTATACAGCAGATGTTTTAATAAAAGATCTACAATGTATTAAATGTATGTGTAAGGGGCCGTCCATAAATGACGTCACGCACCTGGGGGGGGGGGTCAGACATTTGTGACGCCGTGTGACGATGGGGGGGGGGGGGTAAAAAATCGTCCAAAATCGCGTGACGTCATTTATGGACGGCCCCTAATACATAGATATTTTGCAGTAACAATTTGAGCAATTCGCTATTACTGTACAGTACTTTATTTCCCTTTCCTGTTGGGCGGCTGAAATCCATTTTTCACACCCCCTCGCAATCTTCCAAGTGGAGAATAGCCGCCCTAACGACATGGCATGGCTGTGCTTTTAACGTCCTCATGCTCAATTAACTGACCAGTATACCATGCAGCAGTATTTTAGTGTTCACGTTTTACCCCTTAAAAACTGCATTACTCTAATTATCCACTCAACATAATTGGATCATGCACTGAAGTGTTGAGACACATAACTGACCTTAGTGCTTGCCATAGAAAAAACAAGACTATATTTCCTAAACAAAGACAGTAATACTGCAGTAATATAAGCTAACATATGTATTTTCAGGCCTTTATATGCAGCTTGTCTGTCAAATAAATACAACGAATACATACAAGTATTGATTAGTTATATGACTTGAATAAGATATACAATGGGAGTTAACTTTTTTGTATTCGCAAAAGCTTTATGGCTATCTGATATTCCGGCTATGCAGCACATATGTTTGTTTGCATTCCTTATCAAAATGGAGATTGAGGTCTTCATATTAAATCTGCAGCATGTGGTATCAAGAAACAGCAGAACTTAATATTGCATTAAAATATACATATTTATAATATTTCTGAACGTAATTTTTTATTTGGTTTTCTAGTACTCTGTAATTCGACTCCAGAAATATACATAGAAAATGTGTAATGACAAACACTAAGTACTGTATTTGTATCGTAACGAGCCTTTTTAAAATGTATTTCCATCAAAAAGAGCACGCGTTTTATAACTGCAGTCCAACGAATATAATGTTTGACCAATTTAAAGTGCTGGACAACAGTCTCTGCTCATTACTTACGCATGCCTTCTCAATCGATACGAAAAGCAACTACGTAATGTAAGCTTCCGGTAATTGCATTTGTAGCCCAACAGACATTTACAAATGTCAACCATGTTACTATAATGGATTGGGGTCGGATATAAACCGGAGATTTAATGCATAAAATATGGTTTAAAAAAAGACAGGATAGGCAGACATGACAGTTTACATTCCATGGATTTGTGTAATATGCCGTATATAACTACTGTATATCAAATCTTAATTATTTACTATAGTATGTTGTGTCTGGGATTATTCCATCACATTTAGAATGGGTATAAAAATATGGGTGTAATCATGCATTTTTGCATTTATAAATATCAATTCCTAGGCTTGTGATGGGGAGTGTTGGGGGTCCAGTGCGTAGCACATTGCCATATGAAGGTGGAGACTAAGTTAGATTCAAACCCACTGATATAAATGGTGGTTAAAATATGGTCCAACAACCCTCTTGACTGACACGGCGTGTAGAGGCCTCGATGTAGCAATGGATTTACACAGGCATGTGTAAATGAATACAAGCTCAAGGTACATGTGAGTTGCGTGTGTATGTGTAGTGCTGTTTTTTCACAATATAACAACTTATTTTTCTTCTGTGTCACTTTATTCGTACAAACTCCTCGCGTTCTACACCACGAATCTCCCTCGCAATTCTTCCACTTGTACTGTTGCCACGCTTCGCTCGCTCTCGTTCCACTAGCCTTTATGTTGCACTCTGCTAGCTTCTCCACTGCTAGCCTCTCGCAATATCCTCTGCTAGCTTCTCACCGTATACTCCGCTAGCTTCTCGACTCCTAGCCTCTCACCATATACTCCGCTAGCCTCTCTACTGCCAGCCTATCTACCCTCACACCTCCAACCTCGCCCTTGCCTCCAGCAGGGGATCAGCCATCACCGGTGGAGAGGACGAGGTGTGGAGAGCGGGTTTCCCAACTTCTCTTGTGTTCACTCTTGTCTTCACTCCAACCAACTCGACCTCTGCCTCACACGTTTCCCATTTATCCAGAGGCGTAGCTAGGATATTTTGCGCCCGGGGACGAACTATAAAATTGGCGCGCCCCCCCCGCCCCCCCCCCGTTTAATCACATTTTCCTATTACATCGAATAAGGAATAACAATTTTAATTTTAATGAAACATTGTATTTAAAGAAGCAAATTTATAGAAATTATATTACACGGGATCACCGGTGGAGAGGACGAGGTGTGGAGAGCGGGTTTCCCAACTTCTCTTGTGTTCACTCTTGTCTTCACTCCAACCAACTCGACCTCTGCCTCACACGTTTCCCATTTATCCAGAGGCATAGCTAGGATATTTTGCGCCCGGGGACGAACTATAAAATTGGCGCGCCCCCCCCCCCCCCCCCCCCCCCCCCCGTTTAATCACATTTTCCTATTACATCGAATAAGGAATAACAATTTTAATTTTAATGAAACATTGTATTTAAAGAAGCAAATTTATAGAAATTATATTACACGGGATCACTCAGTCACTGTCGTAGACTGGTTGACATAGTCTACAAAAGATACATTTTTCTTGATTTCACTGTCACAAACTGGTCAATCACGTAATCAAAATCTGTTTTTTTCAATATTTCTCTTTCAACGCTAAGAAGAGCAAGATCGCTGAGACGATATTGTCCCATTGAAGCACGCAAATACGACAAAATAAGTTTCAATTTGCTGAACGACCGCTCACAGCTTGCAATTAAAACTGCTATTGTTAATACAATTTGCAGTGAAATTCGCAAATTCGGAAATATGTCGTCTCCATAAAACACAATACAACCAAGAAGATCCAAAGGAGTTTCTGGTAAAACTTCATTCCGGTTACTGAGCAGCATTTTTCAATCTACAATTTCTTTGAAAAGTTCATGACCATTGATGTCGGTGTCATAGAAATTTCCAAAATCTGTGCAATTTCGACGAATTGCATCGACATCTGTGTCGGATAGAAGAGTTTTGACGTCCAGCAGGAATCCTAATTTTGTGTTCAGGTCTTTTGGTCGTAAAAACCGTGTTGACATCTCCTGTTGAAGTCGATAAAATACACTCTTCATAACGCGCACACTTTATTCTTCTGCTGAAAGTCCTGCATCTCTTGCCAGTTCTCCTGGCATCTTCCGACGTCGCCTAATTCTTATGTACACATCGATCCCCCAGGCTGTGCATCTTGTTTTGGCGTTTTTTACAGCAACTTGGCTCAAATCATCACGAAGCTTGACAAATTCATGCTCCAAAGATTCAAGATCAGTTGCTGCTTCCTTGAAATTGATAGTAGGATCCTGTGCTTCTGAACACGATCAATTTGTCCAAGAATGACATTCCAGAAATGTAATAAAACTATTAAGTTAAAATTTAATACGTATGCCTGTAACTGTTCTGCATCACTTCTGGTTTCAGGCATCATAGTTACATCCTCCGATAATTTGTCTAGCAGCCCTACTAGTTCATCCAGTCCTTCATAGATATCTTTAACAGCTTCTGATCGTGCACTCCAGCGTGTTTCAGACTCCCACTTTACTGTGATGGGCACAGCTTTTTTAACTCTTCCCAACGAATTGTTGAATGAGAGAAAAACAAATATATACATTCGACTGTTCCAATAAATGTGATATGTGGATTCTGTTTAGCTGAGTGTACTGTGGTTGTCACAGTTGACAAACAATGCTCTGTAATTTTTGTCACATATTCGTTGTTGACTAAGGCTGAAAGACTGCGCCTGTCTGTTGTTTGGGACGTTCTTCCATGTAAGTTCTTAATAGGCGCGTACCAAAATGTAATTACATGACATGTAGGCTGTGTGGCGAGATATATAAACTTTTAGGTTGAGGTGTAGATTTGTGCAGTAGTTTCAGGCTGCCGCGCCCGCCACAATAAGTTCTAATGTAACGTTGTAAGCCTCATTTTGGCGCCCCTTTACCTTGGCGCCCGGGGACATATGTACCCCTCCCCCCTCGCTACGCCTCTGCATTTATCCCCCTCCTTATTAAGTGCCCGCAGATGGCCCTCATTAAGCCTGTGTCATCCCGACGCCTCTCGCAAGTGGCTTCCCCCTTATTGCCTCAATCTCTTGCCCCCCTGGCGTCGTTAACTCCGCGTTTGCATTTGCAACCAGCCAATCACTTGCATGCATCTTAATTGGTCACCATTCTCTGGTTGCTCTCTCTCCCCACCAGTGTGCCCTGACGTGACTGCACTATCCGCCGCTCACATGCGTGCACACTGTTTTCAAAACCCCATGCGCGTTACTTCACTTTAAGATGTTTTTTGTTCATGTTTTTGTTTGTTGCGGTTGCACCCGATTCAAGAGCTGAATGGCTCACAGGGCTATACCTAATAAATGAACTTGAACTTGATGTGGATCAATTTTGTTGGATTCCTTTAGTGTATGTTGCTGTTGATGGATTTACATGATAATTGTAGCCGCTAGAGACCGCTAAAAGATTTAGGATGGAATCACGACCCTGATTTATGACAATTCATAAAATTATAGGAGAGGGGGTGGGGGAAGCTAAGAGGTGAAAATTATACCCATAAAAAAACATGTAAAGTTACAGAAAATCAACACGTTCCTTCGGAGTGGGCAGATAGGAACTTGGTTGGACAGCGCATTCGTGCACGACAGACAAATATGCACGACAGACAAATAATCCCTGGTGGGCAGTGTAGAACCTGTTGTTCCTACCTGTATGATATCCCTTCTTTTCCAACTGTTAAGGCAGTCACTGTTGCTAGAAATATAAAGTTATTTATCACATCTAAACAAGATAATCTCTGTGGAGAAGGGTAACATTTACTTCTATCAGATTAGGTAGAATTACCATTTGTAAAAATCTTTCATCGTGAAAATACTGAATTGTCTATGTAACTGGAAGTTTATGTTGCTAAGAATACACCCATACACAATTTTGGCCACGGTTTTATTTACATATTTCCATCCCTGTTTCCTTGCTGAAAATACAAATGCTTACTCGTACTCTTGCCATCATCCCGCGGGGGGGGGGGGCAGCCCCTGAACAAAGTGAAAAAAATAATCCACCAACCACATGCCATGTTCATATGCATTGTTAAAAAAATTGTGAATAGTATATTTTGAAAGCAGGTATGTGTGGTGTTACAAGCAAGTGAACTTGTAGACGGTGAATTTCACACATGATGGATAGAGAGCCAAGGTTCGGGTTTCACAGGAAGGAACCAGCTGGTGCCATTTCCATGGACACATAACCATTGAACGCATCGGTCAGCTCGCACGTGTGCGGCCTTTAGCAGGGTGGTGCTTACTCTCTGTTACGTTCAACGGAGTGAATCACCAACAGCCGTAGTGGCAAAAAAACATCCCTTCTCCCATGAGCATAGCTTTTTTGATTAAATTTATGTTAACGCAACCCGAATGATATAGTTGCTTTGCTACTTACACCAAACCGAGAGATCAGCAATTTGTCTCTTGTATGTCATTTGCTATGGCTTTCTTGGCCCTCGAGAGCTATTGATCATCAGTAATTATATCCGTGTACAGTATTTTTATTTTGTGTAAAGCTAAATTAAACACTTACATTAAAAAAAAACTAATTTTGTACGTGTATCATCGTTATTGTGCATACAGTATCAGCAGAATTTCTGCATTACTGCACTTTGAATTCATGATTGTGCATGAACATGTTTTTGTTTTCAAATAGTTTACAATTTTTAAGAAAAGATAATGTTGTGCTTTTACTTTAAAATCCCCAGCAAATTCACGGTGCCATGTTAAAGCTGCAGGATTACAATTATTGACTGCGGCCGCCTGGAACGCAATTCCTTCCGATATTAAGAAGCCACTGCAGCTATGCACTTTTAAATCTAAATTGAAAACTAATTTCTTTAAAACTGATTTTGTGTTTAGTTTGTTGTCCATCCCCGGCACCTTCGATTAGCATGGTTAGCTACGTACGATGCAAAACAAGTTCACCATACATGACCTAGATAAAGAAGCATTTTTTTCAGCTGGTGCATGGTGAAAAATGTACAAGCCTATTCTACTGTTGGGAGTTAGACAACTGCAACAAATCTAAAAAAATGTTTTTTTTTTTAAACATTGCAAGTGCGTCGATTCAAGAGCAGCAATCATCTAATGGGATCAGCAACAGAAAAAAGGGAAAAGAGCATCATCAATAAGGACCCCACATTAGTCATAGCTTTTATAGGCTTGCCTCGGTGTCCATATTAATATTTCACCTGTCAGCTCTAGGCCCTTCCCACTGATACAGCAGTTTTACCTCGCAATGTAAAATGGACAGCATAACACAAATATACACTGCAGTTGTGCAGCAAATGATTTTACTCAGCATGACCATTGTAATGTATGTATTTTAGACATGATTACATTAGATGGAAACAAAGTTATGAAATGTATACATTTTAAATATATACTTTTAAAATAGAGCAAATGTCATGACACATTTATAAAACTGGTTCACTTGTGATGCATTACATTATTAAAGTTCATAACGTTTCATATTGCATCATTTTACACAAGCAAAATAAAAATGTATCTTCACTGAATTTTTTCTGTGGTGAAATAGCTAAGACATTTAAAATGAGCTCAAAATAATAATCCGATTTTCTAGTTCTACGTGAAGTACAGATTCACATTAATTCTTCTGAATGTGTTAAGCTAGATATCACAGTTGTTAGTAGTGCATTTTTAACATAACGGGCATATACATTGCTTTGGATAAATAATCATCAACATCCATGATCAATCCACTGCTGAATCAAGGGCTTCCCTCATTGTTGCCATCCCTCCCAGCCTTGCAATGCCACACTCCATCTCAATCAATCTTGCTTCTGCACGCAAGATTAGCTCACATACACGGGCAATATGAATTGGGAAACGTGCACAGTATTTGTGTACATGTAAAATATATAATGGCACAATGAAAAACCAAGAAAATACTGAAAAATGAATATACCCGTAACAAGTATTTTATGGAGCTATTTTTAGAGAAATGAAAAACGGTATTACTGTTCGCGTACTGTATAATGAAACGACACATTTTGCCATTACAATACAGTAAAAACATACAATTTACATTTGTAATTACATCACGTTCTAACACCCATACTCTATTGAGTACAATTAAATACTTGAAAGTGACACACTGCAGATCAATCATGCTATGTTTACAATGTTAGCTACAGTGAGGGAAAAAAGTATTTGATTCTCTGCTGATTTTGTACGTTTGCCCACTGACAAAGAAATGATCAGTCTATAATTTTAATGGGAGGTTTATTTGAACAGTGATAGACAGAATAATAACAACAACAAAATCCAGAAAAACGCATGTAAATTTTTTTATAAATTGATTTGCATTTTAATGAGGGAAATAAGTATTTTACCCCTCTGCAAAACATGACTTAGTACTTGGTGGCAAAACCCTTGTTGGCAATCACAGAGGTCAGACGTTTCTTGTAGTTGGCCACCATGTTTGTACACATCTCAGGAGAGATTTTGTCCCACTCTTTGCAGATCTTCTCCAAGTCATTAAGGTTTCGAGGCTGACGTTTGGCAACTCGAACCTTCAGCTCCCTCCACCGATTTTCTATGGGATTAAGGTCTGAAGACTGGCTAGGCCACTCCAGGACCTTAATGTGCTTCTTCTTGAGCCACTCCTTTGTTGCCTTGGCCGTGTGTTTTGAGTCATTGTCATGCTGGAATACCCATCCACGACCTATTTTCAATGCCCTGGCTGAGGGAAGGAGGTTCTCACACAAGATTTGACGGTACATGGCCCCGTCCATCGTCCCTTTGATGCGGTGAAGTTGTCCTGTCCCCTTAGCAGAAAAACACCCCCAAAGCATAATGTTTCCACCTCCATGTTTGACAGGGTGGGGATGGTGTTCTTGGGGTCATAGGCAGCATTCCTCCTCCTCCAAACACGGCGAGTTGAGTTGATGCCAAAGAACTCCATTTTGGTCTCATCTTACCACAACACTTTCACCCAGTTGTCCTCTGAATCATTCAGATGTTCATTGGAAAACTTCAGACGGGCATGTATATGTGCTTTATTGAGCAGGGGGACCTTGCGGGCACTGCAGGATTTCAGTCCTTCACGGCGTAGTGTGTTACCAACTGTTTTCTTGCTGACTATGATCCCAGCTGCCTTGAGATCATTGACTAGATCCTCCCGTGTAGTTATGGGCTGATTCCTCACCGTTCTCATGATCATTGCAACTCCACGAGGTGAGATCTTGCATGGAACCCCAGGCCGAGGGAAATTGACAGTTCTTTTGTGTTTCTTCCATTTGCGAATAATCACACCAACTGTTGTCACCTTCTCACCAAGCTGCTTGGCGATGGTCTTGTAGCCCATTCCAGCCTTGTGTATGTCTACAATCTTGTCCCTGACATCCTTGGAGAGCTCTTTGGTCTTGGCCATGGTGGAGAGTTTGGAATCTGATTGATTGATTGCTTCTGTGAACAGGTGTCTTTTATACAGGTAACAAGCTGAGATTAGGAGCACTCCCTTTAAGAGTGTGCTCCTAATCTCGGCTCGTTACCTGTATAAAAGACACCTGGGAGCCAGAAATCTTTCTGATTAAGAGGGGGTCAAATACTTATTTCCCTCATTAAAATGCCAATCAATTTATAACATTTTTGACATGCGTTTTTCTGGATTTTGTTGTTGTTATTCTGTCTCTCACTGTTCAAATAAACCTACCATTAAAATTATAGACTGATCATTTCTTTGTCAGTGGGCAAACATACAAAATCAGCAAGGGATCAAATACTTTTTTCCCTCACTATACTACTTCGTTTACTCATCATCATTATTTTTTTAATAAATACATCTTTCGCTTTCAAAGGTATCACTTATTAAACATGATTATTCATCTTTTCCGCGTTAGAGTTTAATGGACACTGTTGCTGGAGATAATTAAGATAGTATGACCTTATTTTGTCCATCTCGGTTGAATTGTGCCAGGGATTGGTCATAATTGGACACAGAAAATTAACAGAATGCTTAACGAATATAGTGCAATGGATAGTCTGATATGTTGATTAAAGCCAGAGTGTATGGTGGAATTAAGGTTTGTTCTTTGTAAACATGTAATGTACGTTTCTCTTTTCAAGTCATATGTGGAGAATCACTTTACACCTTTTATGAGAAAACTGTTTCACACGATTTCATCCTTGAAAGTCATATAACACAGAATACAGACATGAATGCACATTTACAATTTTAGAAAATCGGATTAAGTACTTTTTTTCCTGAGTGAATGAGAGCCCGTATAGCATACGCAGATAAATAAACGGAATTACTCTATTCACCTTCGCAGGAAGTGTAGTGCTCCAGACTTGCATTTGACATGCACTTAAAATGACGAATTACTTATTCGAATTTTTTTGGCACACAGCACCATGTACTGACACATAGAATAATGACGCTTTTGTTGATTAAAACTGTCATCACGTGAAGAACCGGCAGTTGGTTGAGTCTATGCGACAGTAAATAGTACATCTTAATTGTCCATAGGATCTGGGGAGAAAAGTGATGTGAAACAAAAACAAACAAGAATGATGTAAAACATATTGTATGCAAAAAAACATACTTTAACACTACACGATGAAAGCAATATCAATGTACATGTATTTAATCCTATGACATTTCATATCTGGACAGGTGGCACTGTGGCAGAACACTCAACGCACATTCAGAAGGTTACAAGTTCAAATCCCGATGAGGGATCAACGACCCATCATCTGTCTGGAGTCAAAATATGATTACCACTTTGTGGGAAGTTAACAGTGGCTCTCCCATAAAAATATTGGTCCCCTCCAAGGGAATGTGCAATTACTGCCACTTTCAGGGCAACTAATCAAGATGACAACCACCCCATCTTCATGTTTCATGTTTAGGATGTGACTTTTGAACATATGCATTCCAGAAATAATTAAACATGTTTGTGCAATATTTTTCATTAATCCAAACAGTATTTCTAAACTTCAAAGAATACCATTCGTAATTCAGGACAGCAAGGCCTTACCCAGGAAGATAAGTCCCACAGGTGTGGAAGTCAAAGTCCTCTTTGTCACACTCCTCCTCTCCTTCTTGCTGGTGGCCATCGCCACAGAATGACTTCTTGCAGCCTGGCACATTTAAAGAGGTCTTTTGACAGGCTGAAACAACAATTCTGGGCTCGTTTTTGCACAAATAGTATGCTTTCCAACAACACATTTTTCAAGCGGTGGACCTACCTATGCAGGTGTCAGAGCTGACATCATTTCCATCATCACATTCTTCTCCATTTTCTTCCTGCACCGTCCCATCTCCACAGTAGCCCGTGAAATGTGGAGGAGCCAGCTAGTTTTGATGATCAAAAAAATATACGTATTAATATGCTTGTTTAATTGTTGTGCAGTGAGCAAGTATTTCTGGCTGTGATCTAAATATTAACATTTCAAATGGTGATAATTCATGTATAGCTCCCAACCCAATGTAGCAATATATTTAAACAGACAATGCAATCTGCTGATGTTAAGAGACCTTAAGTGTGTCATGTTCAGTTATGTAACAGTTATACCTGGATAGGCACCCAGCCTGTTGGTTCCTTGAAGAAAAGTGAGCGAATGTCCCGGCGAAAGACAATTGTACTTGGTACATTAAATTGATCCAGCTCCTCTTGATCTTTTACTACATACACCTACAAAGTACAACGTGTACAGGTTCACAGGAGCAAACCCTCAAAATGTGCGCATACAGTGGACCTTTACACTCTCGCATGTAAAATCACCAATGCATGTATTCTTGTGGTAGCTCATGATAAATGCAATTTGGTGGGGAGTTTAAATAATCTTAAAAAACATGTGAATGAGTGAATTTTACTTCCAGAGTCACTTACAGTTGGTAATGTAGGAAAAGGTTGTACACCTGATTGAACCATTGGATTTTGAGTCTTGGGGTTCAGATGAGGACACAGGCACTTTCCTGGTGGTCCAGGCTGTCCTTGAGGCCCTCGCTCTCCCTTTCTCCCGTGCATCTGACCACCTACATTCGCACACAAACACCTATAAGAAAAAGGGGGGAAAATCTGCACAAGTAACATTTCAGCTATAAATGGTATGCACTAAAAATGCATGTTTTGAGTTTTTAACCATACAATGATCGAACAAAAACGATTGATTAGTTTTATATAGCGTTGTTTGTTTGAGGAACCACATATAAGCTGGAGGGCTGTCAGGCATTGAGATGTAGCCAACAAGTGCTTTGCAGTTCTCTATATATTAATACATTTTCAGCTAAGTAGTGAGAGTTTATAAATTCGCGAGGAAACCGGAACACCTGGAGAAAACGCACTCTCGTGAGGGGGCAACACTCTATCCCATACTTTTCTGTACTGCATTCTGTTGGCAAGATAGGACATTTCACTTCGATGCCCATGGGAAGGGAATTTTGCAATATTTTTCCGATTCACCAACTGCCTGGCTAATTGTAATTTGTAATAAGTTTTTATTTACACAACGACACATGAATTGGCTCCAAAACTTAGGTTTTAAATGTGCACAGTATTTTTTCTGGAAACACATTTACCAACTCAACAATTATTAGAGAGAAAATGTGTACTGATAAAATGCTGTTATAATCATAAAACTAAACACAATACAACAGGAAAATTTGGAAAATATGAAGCTTGCTTTAGTAACTTCCACTATTTGTGTATCACACCATACATTTTATAAAGTTGTATATCTTTAATGAAGAGATATATTTCTATTGACATGCTTTCAACACATAAAATGTGGCCAAAATGAAATATTGCCTTTCCATAAGCTAACAAGAGCGTTCAGTAACGCAGCATATCCTGACTGGATGAGTCACACAGCTCAGTTGACTTAGATTATGCATGGCGCTCTTCATCAAAGGGCTTGCCCATTTTCATTTGCTGGTCTGATGCAAACCACCATTCATTCGACTAAGTGCTATTGATATTTTTCCTCGTTTAATCAAATTCTCTCATGGGAGTTCAGTCCGTGAACATGTTTTTCTTTCAGCCACTGTGTTTTAGTCCCCAACTGAAACAAAGCTTTATGCATCTTCAATTGTTTATCAATATTGTCTAAGCTCAACACAAACCTGATAAATTCATATTTACTGCAAATCATAATACTTCACACAGTGTGAAACCAATCGATATGCAAATTACTAACAATCTCATCAGTTTGAACAATAATTTTAGAAACATGATAAAGAACATGCCAAACGGCGGGATTAAGTCTAGCGGCTATAGCACATGAACACATTCACCCGTTCACACACATACCATCTGCCTTCATTAAGGGGCCAGAGATGCCGGGAGGGCCTGGGGACCCTTGGTTTCCTGGGGGCCCACGTGGGCCCAAGTCTCCCTTGGAGCCCTGCAGAACAACACAAGGATTAACTCTGGGCGGAGGTCACATAGCGTGGTCCATGAGCACAATGGACAGATTGACTTCCATCACATAGTAACATTTAAATTCCACCACTGGCGTCTGGTCACTATCAACCCTGCCCAATGCTCATTTGAACAATAATTTAGCCTGCCTTGAGACAAAGGGGTTGTGCTAAAGCATAATTTGTTAATGTTATGTTGCATGCAATTTTTTACATTACATTAAAAAAAACCTTTCTAATGCCATTTTACAGCAGTGTGCCCTACCAAGCCATTAATAATGAGCTGCTAAATGAGTGTAATTAAAATAAGTTGAGAAGATTCCTGTTATGTAACAGTTATATATATATGTAGGACACGTTTTGATGAGGCCGAGGGGAGCATTGCACATCATATATTACAGGAACCAGTTTAGAAACAAGGTATATATACATCCTGTTGCGATAATAATGCTTACGTGTTTGCCACGCTTCCCAGGTTTGCCCATGGGACCCCTTCGTCCTGGAGGTCCATCGTCCCCCTTGGGCCCCCCATCGCCCTGCAACACGTGGACAAACATCAACATGGCCGGGCATGACTGTGGAAACGTTCCAGTCGGGCACGCTGGCCCACATCCATGGCCCAGGACCCTTGAAAATGCAAAGTTTACCACGTGTGAGCCTACAAAATAGCCTCTGCCGGGCAGCAAAGCAAGTAGGTTCGTGACTGTGTGAACAAATTTACGAGTGTTATCCCCTTGTGTGCATTTATCGTCTTTAGGTATTCCAGTTTACTCCAACACAAAGCAAATGACTCGACTAAAAATAATTCAGAAATAAATAGGAATGCTCCTGCGTGTTAAGACTCAGACAATAATTTTCCTGAGCAAATACAAAATACACTATTGTTAATGGAATAGAATGCGTTACCTTCGGTCCAATCATCCCATGCACCCCTGTGCTTCCCTGCACGGGAAGACCAAAGAGATATACTTTTCAAAACTGCATGATAATATATTTATTCTCTTATATAATGACGATCAGAAATACTATGTCAGCTGTTAGATGGCCTCTCAAAGTTGTCGCCATCCCTCATGGTCTCATGATACAACAATCCATCAAACTCCTGCACATCAGCTGAACCATCTCCACCTCTGCAGTGGATATCCTCCTTTAGCTGCGACTCCATCGGCAGTCTCAAGTCAACAACCACGACAATGTCTCTAATTTGCATTCTCTGATCCATGTTCCCCTTTGTGCCTCTTGCTGCCTCAATCAATCTTCTATTTAAAACTGGAGAGAAATTTGACATTAAGAATTGCAGACCCATTAGCCTCCTGTCAAACATATACATTGTTCACGACTATTATTGCAAATTTAGACCAAGACTGATGAATATCATATACCATTATGCCTAGCCATTGTAGAGTATAAAAAGGCATTTGACTCAGTAGAAATTTACAGTCAATCCAAGCTCTCACACACCAAGGTCTCTGTAATACAAAATAAATGTGTTCCAAAAATATATTACCTTTTCTCCCTGAATCCCATGATCCCCTTTTTCCCCAACACCCTGAGGAATGGAACAAAAATTGACAGACTATTAACAAGACCCTAGAGATTGAAAATTATTTCGAAAACACAATTAAACAACATGAATTATAACTACAAAGTTTTACTGAACGTTGTGTTCATTAGCTGTAATAGCATTTAAAGTGGTGCCAGGGATATGCGTTCCATCACCGTATCTCCTTTAAGCCCCGGCTCTCCCTGTAATGAAATAATACATCATGATTACTGTCAGTGTTTCTTCTAATGTAATACAACCTTAATTTCGTATATTATTACAGAGGGGTTCCCATAGGGCAAGGGTTTCAGGATTCAGACTCTTAGAAGGATGTCCGAGCCACATTCTAATCACACCGCACATGTCACATGTTCACAGTGTGTACAGGTTTCCCTCACTTAATGTAGTAGTAGATGTCTGCCGAGTATACCACGGATGCAGTACACAAACAATGTTGTCCCACGTCCAGCCGCATAGCCGCATACTAGTAAATTCTAACCGCATATAGAGTATTTTGGGTAGAAATGGGTTAGCCACATATTCGCGAAATAGCACTGACCGAACCCGCATAAAGCGAGGGGAAAGAGCTTGATTATTTTATTCATGCAGAATTTACATTCGGGCTACTTTTTCAAAGCTAGACATCAAGCAGTGAATAAAGTCGAGCTGCTATCTAACCTTTAGACCCTGAGGACCCCGAGCGCCTGGCATCCCCAGCAGCCCAGCATCGCCCTTGTTACCCTGTAATTGGTGAAATCACATCACATTTATTCAGCCTTTATTAATTCAATAACAATTACCCTTCAACCTGTTCAGAGACAACTCCCAGTTGAGCTTAAACAATGAACTGGAAATCAATCTTACTCTCTTGAAATCTATTACATTTTCAAGTGGTGGTGATTCTTTCTATCCAAATATTTCTCAGCAGTAGAGTGAAAGGCTTGTAATCGAAAGGTAGCAAGTTCATATCCGATTTGGGGGTTGAGTCAGCCCATCATCCCTCCAGGGTCATTAGAATGAGTACCACTGTGTTAGATAAGTCAATAGTTGTTGTTCTATAGAGACTCGCCCCCACCATAGAAACTTGGAACTTCCACCACTGGATCTGGGATGTAAACAGGAGATTAGCATTGCCTCAATGCTCATTTGAGCAAGAAATCACTTTTTTGTGAAAGAGAACATTGGGTTATACATTCTAACCTCAGGTCCTCTTGGTCCTGGTGGACCCGTTTCTCCCGGAGAGCCCTGTAAACCTTGAAATCCATCTGCACCTGGCTGCCCCTTTTAATGCACACACGACACCAGTTGTTAGATCCAACAGCAATGGGAAAATACACACGTAAAATTATAAACATGAAAATTTAAAGGCGTCTGTCCTACCTGTCGTCCTCGTTTGCCTGGCTGACCCTGACAAAAGACAACACCCAAGTGACCAATGTAAAAAAAAATACCAATAAAACACCTTACAAATATTTCCCATTGTCTGTTGCCATATAAAACATGGGAGCATTGATACGACTGTCTGGCTGCTCTCTTGTTTCATTTCTCTAATATATGTTCTAATATAAAAACGTTTGCTTTGTTTAAGTGAACAAAATAATGATTCCTGCAGTCACGAAAGCTCCAAAAATTAAGATCAAAATAATGATGTTAAGTATACACATCAGGTATGTTTTTTCAGTCATAAATAACTATTTACTCTTGTCAACTTACCTCAGCACTTTATTAAAGTGTATTCTAGCTCAGGTAAAAACATAGTTTAGATTGTTTTACCTCCGTAATCACACTTTGCACTTTCACCTCTCACTTAAGCTGAAAATTCTGGATTCTCGAGCAGCAGAACAGAATTCGAAAACCTACAGACTCAAATGCTCCGGGTTTGAATGAGTACAGTACACAAGAGTTCATTACCTTGTCTCCCTTTGATCCAACAGAGCCTGTAGTCCCAAACCCTGGTGGGCCCTACAAAATCAAAGTAATACAATATCGTAAACCAATAAAGATGTATATAACTTCCAGATGCTTTGCCAGTTATAGGTGTCATTTGTATGTGTGTATGTAAGTTGAACTACCTTCACACTGTACGTAGTCAACCGCATTAATTAAAAGTATGGAGGAAGGACAACAAACTAAATACAAAAAGCAGTTCTAAAGAGATTAGTTTTCAATCTAGATGTAAAAGTGCATAGTTCCAGTCGCTTCCTAATAGAAGGAAGAGCATTCCAGACGGCCTCAAAAGCGCATCTGAAAGTGCGTGATGCAGTGACCGTCTTTGTTCGATGGCTCGCCAAAAGCCGCTGCAAGGATGACCAGAGTTTGCATGATGGTTTATGCTCCTTGACGAGATCACCAATGTATTGTGGTTCATTTGTGGAAAGCACTTTGTGTGTAATGAGTGCGACCTTATAATGTATTCGTTCGGCAACCGAAAGCCAATGCAGCTTGGCAAGCACCATACTTGACCACACTGGTCAATGTGGGTTGATGAAAAGAGGCCCCAGGACTGGGTCAGATTATTATTGATGTTAGCCGTGGGCAGAAAACAATCTGAAGCCTCCAGATTCATAGTACAGTGCGCTGACAACTGTGCCACTACACCGCCCCCATTATATCTCTACATGCATTTTATATAATGAGTAACATGACAACACTTGAGTGTCATTGGATAAAGTGCATTTGGATTTGTGTAAAAACAACTAAATATACTTTTTCATGCTGTAACACCTCACTGGGTGTACATCTCTTTTTAGGAGGACCCTGTTTGGGATATTTGGCCACTTCCTTTGAGCTATTTTTGCGTGCAGGAAATAATCTGTTGTGCCCAGAGAAAACCCACACATGGAAGGGAAGAAGACTCAGACTCCACACATGGGTGACCGATATGCGGTACCTTCAGACTCAACCTGCGGTCACATTTATAAATCCATACTGTATTGCAGCCTCTTGCATTGCGCTACTGCTGCATAGATTGCAAAATAATCACCACGTGGTTCTTCGAGGTGGATGTCTCATGTGCACAGTATCAGTGTTTTAGTTCAGTTTGTTTCATTTAACAGGTGAGAACTCAAAGAGACAAAGGATAGTCTATTTTGCAAGTGTGCTCCACCAAGTTTCTGGATTGCAGGAGTGTGAACCCACACGCGCTATCAAGCTATTATTGTGTGTGTGTTGTAACAGCCGCACCTGTGGGCCCGGGGGACCGGATGGACCAGGAGGACCTGGAGCACAGCTACAGGATGTATCATTGGATCCTCCGGGCACTGGCTTCTTGCTGCTCTCCTCCTGGGCGGTTGCGCGGGCACGTGTGGGAGAGCGTGTGCATGGAGGTGTAAGTTTACACGTGTATATCATAGTCCAGTTGCACTCTTTGGGATTCAGCCAAACTATCTACAGTGTAATGTACTTGAAGCCTGGCCAATGGATTCCACTGGGTCACTGAAATGTGGGTGGTTAAAAAATAGGCAAAGGTTGCCAAATGGTAGGTTGCTAGCAAATGTAAAGTTGAGCTAGGTGTGTGGACACAGGAATTAGTGACTTGCTGATGCGGATAAAGGCATTTCTCACCTGGGCAGTGTGCCTGCGCATGAAGGTGGGCGGCTTGACAGGTGGAGGTGGCGGCGGGAGCCACGGCAAGCAGCACGCCTCCCCAGTAATTGAAATTTGCTCTATTGAACGCGTACACAATGGGCACAGGGACAACACAGAGTGACACATGCATAGGTACGCAGTGCACACTTACATAAATGTACAGCCCTTTGTTTATCCATCGCTGGATGAGGACATCCATGCTTCACCACGCTGGTCAATGCGGGTTCTTGAAGGCAGGGAGCACAGATGTGGGATCACTGAAGTACTGATCAACAATAGATGTGTTTTCTTTGTACTGCCTTCGGCTGCTCACCACATATCCCTGCAGACTATAACACCTGTTATGCAAGGTGGTCGCCCATATAAGCACGATGCAAGCTCAACTTTGCTAGCTTCTGATATATGACGAGATTAGGCGCGTTCCGTCTGATGCAGGTATGCACTATGCACTATTAATAAACATAGCTGTGTCTAGCTATCGGGACAGCGAAGTGATGGCATGAGTTGCTCTTGGCACAAGAGGGCCAAGCCACAGCAATTACAATGGGCATGCTTGTGTGCATGTGCGCGCAGTGGGAGCGGTGGCGCAGCTTCGAAACTGGCGCCCCGGGTTCGATTCCCGCTCACGGCCAACACCGGTCACAATTATCTGAACCGGTCCTGGGCCTCCCCTAGGTCGACTCGGCCTCAAATGAGTGTCCATTACGGTGTGTAAATATCGGAATTGGGGATACAAAGGCGGTCGGGCGTGGTGCTGGCTACCCACCCCCTCGCGTACTGTTCCGGCCTTCATAGGTGCTCGCTGACAGCACTTGCCCCAAAAGTATGTTAAGGCTATACGGGGGGTCTTTGTTTTGTCTTTGTTGCATTTGTTTCTGTGTGTTGGAACCGAGTCTGCAATACACGAGGATACATATAATTATTCCTATTTGGCAGGCAGAATATATAAGCTCACTCGTTATTTCCACAGGCACAGTATTTAAAATGTCCAGGAATGTGTTTTGATAACAAAGGATGGCACATTACATGTACTGTACCCGATGTGCAATGAATGTACAAATAGTATCATTACTGTGAGTATACTATCATTGTAATTAAACACCTTTCTTACAAATACTGTACATATTTCCGGATAAAAAGGTAAAAATCTATCTACCGTGAAACAAATTTGAATGCATAAGGTTCAGAATATAGCTTTTAATAATACATCAACTCTTCACTCACTGTTGGATTATTGATTTGCTTTATAAATCATGCAGATAAGATGATGAGATGAGTCACCAAAATAATTTATTACTCAGAATCATGCCTCGTAAGCCTAACAAGATAGGCACATTTGTATAATATGCAGAGGCAAACTGTGCTGGTAAACAATAGTCTGCAACCTCCTGCATGGAGTGATATATAAGTAATCGGCAAATGCATTTATTTACAAGCAGTCAATCTATTTGTTTTTATTCCACTAACCTTGTGAGGAATCGTGCTGCTCTGACTGACAGAGACACACCACGAGGCTGGACAACTGGAGGGTTAGGCGAAGCTAGGGGTCGCACCATGGTGCACGGCTGAAATGCTCTCCTGCGAAAAGTAGTGAAAACACGCGCTGTTTGCAAGTCGGGCTGAACGATTAATCGATTTCAAATCGCAATTTGAAACAATGCGATTAGCAAATCGCAAAAGGCTGCGATTTTTTTACGATTTGAAAAGTCCTATTACTTTCTTATTGGAATTGTTTAATTTTTATTGTTATAACTTTCTTTATTTAACTTAACGATTGTCCTATGTTTGATTGTTCTATTTCAATTAAAACATTTTAATAAATACATGTTGGAAGCAATTAATATATTTTAAGTTATCATCCTTGCATTAAAATATATAGAGCAGTTCATATTTTGATGGTATCACGTGGTAATGCTCCATCACATGTTTCAAATCTATTACACAGTGAATATTGAACTGAAGCTTGACATAAACATTTTTAATCGCAAATCAAATCGCAATGTCAGAAAAATTGCAATTAGATATTTTCCCCAAATCGTTCAGCCCTATTTGCAAGTACAAACAGGAACACTGTCAATCGGTGTCATTATCATTAGTTGTGGTCAATCCACTGCTGGATGAAGGCCTCCCCGCTACATCTATCGTGACCCTGCGATGTAATAATTCACCGAGTGTCACGTCGAAAATAAATGTGTTGTGGTTTTGTTTGTATAATTCTGGCTAGTTTCTATAAGATCATCGCGTTTGATCGTCTTTGTTAGCTTTTGTTTAATCTAAAATGCAATACAATTAGCAGTGATCGAAATGTCGTAGTTTTTTGTTATTTTCTTTAAACCTATCTACGTGACTTTACCGAAAGACCCAAAGAATAATAATAATGTACTTAAACTAAATGTGCTTCAAATGTTGTTAACATTGCATATGTAATAGTGTTTGCACAATAATACTTCAAAGTGACGAGGAATTTAAATTAAAAACTGTGATAATAGCGATTTTGCAGGCCACCTATACATTTTACGTTGCTGTATAAATGCCCGTCATCCCACACAATGTTCTGTTAACCTCAATAAAAGAGCAATTATCAAAATCAGTGGTGGCAGGTGTAGCCGATGCCTGGTCAACATAAATACACAGTCATAGCCTGGCTCACTGCGGTGCACCGAAGTCGAGAAATTTAATTCAACACAGCATTCTCTAACACATGAGTCTAGAGCCGGAAGCATGTGGCCCGGTGTAAAGATAGTCCTTTAAATAGTGTCCTGCTGTCCATGCCGGTAATAAACACTTGTAACATTATACAACCCCAGTACAGCCATAGTTGGGAGAAAGCGGTAAACCATTTGTCTGGAGGGATTTAACGAAGGTTTGAGAATGGCTGTATGTTTGGTTAGCTGCATGGACACCAAGTTAGAGTGATTTCAAACATATATACAGTATGCCTTCATATGTGAAATTATAACTCCAGCCGCAACCACTGGCTTAGGGAAAGGACGTGATACAGAGGGTTGGGGCAAAATGACTGTGGGTCAAAAGTCGACTCTATATTCGTGATGAGTGGGATTACACATGTTCTACCTAAATTGTGGTGACCGTGAGATGTAAAGTGAATGCTAACTTTTCTTTGAAATGGGTTTGTTTCATGGACGTTCAAATTGCAATGTTAACATGTGCTCCGCAATTTATAGTAAATTTGCAAATTGCTCTAATTATGTAGAAAGACATTGACTAAAATGCGTCTATTTCCCACACATGGAGCATGGATTTGCACATATGGTACAATACATCAGAGTAGTTTGGTATACTTTTCATATGATGAATCAAAGACATATTGATAAGCAGTCTACTTTTAAAAGCATGGTTACATTTATTTTGTCCTAATAATAAACTAAACCACATGCTCCCATGAGGTTATGGTACTGAACATACATCATGCTGCACTATGTTAAAATTAACATCTTAGAGATACGTTCATGTATGCTTATGAAACACTGCACACTGTAGCACAACTCATAAATTGTTCTATATTATTCCAACAGATTTTAACAATAACACTGCCTCTCACTGATACATAGTAAAATATACACGAATAAAATCGTTGTCTATATTACAGATCTCTTTAAATTGAACAGACAACATACTGTAAGTACAATATCCTTACCAAAAGATTGATGACTTTGTCAGTCTTCCCAGATTTTATGGAAAAGTTCACTAAATGGCGTTTTTCGTGCACATTCAGCAGTTTGCCTGCCTTCTTCTGATAGACGGGTAGCCCCTGTGTGCTGCGCCTTACAACCACTGAAGCCACGGCTAAACGTGGGCTGATAACGCGACCGTGCAGTCACCCTGCCACCCTCTACCCCACCCCACCCCGATCACTCCAACACTGAGCAGGTGGACAGTGGCGACAGTGGCTGGGGCGTGGGGGGCCAACCCCACCCCACGCACTTCCAGCCTCATCCCCCCCCCCTCCACGGCAGGAGCCACTCAGCTCTCTGGACGATAGAGGCACTACTGCAACGTCGCCAGCATATCGCTGGTGATACAGCATGCACACTGCATGCAGGCTGCTCTCACCAAGTGCTGGCACTTGGCAGGGCACACACACACAAAGGCACTCACAATTTACGAGTAGCCAACCCATTGAGACTTCTAAATTTCCAGCACGGGTAATACCGTTGAGATTTCTGAATACCGTACTGGCACAGTAATACAATTTTCAAATCTAAATTACATGCAGTGGCAATAACATTTGTATGTCTGAATACTGGTGAAGTACCGGTGAAGACGCTTGACACCGAGGTGGAGGCACACGTATATTTATTTCACAATAGGGGTCATATAACACTCGAGGGGGTATCGGCCCCCTCACCCGTATAACTCGGGATACACCCCTAGCTAACTCTGTCCTAGCCCCGAGTCCTCCACTAATGGGCTAGGGGAGGCTATCTGGCCCGACACTGGTAAGTCGGGCCCGGTACCCGGAGTCCCAGACCAGCTCTTACAAGAGCACCGGCTCTGGCTTTCGGGACCACGCCACTGGCTCAGTCCTGTCCGGCCCTGATAAGGACATCGAACTAGGGGAGTCCAGGGCTCTATCTAAGACGTCTTCAGTCTTCTTCATTTAGCTTAAAACATAACTCCCGAGCCCTTTGATACATCCCCTTTTATACTCAACCCCTCCCTGAGGGGTGGGGCCCCGGGGGATCATAACGTTCGAACCAGCCCCCCCCAGGGTGTCTGGCTCGGACGTCGTAGAGGGCACCTCCCCGTGCACTTACGTAGCCCCGCCCACTGTGTTTGTTTTCCATAGGCTGCCATGCATAACGGGCCCTCTCTTTAACACCCCTACATCGGCATGAGCAATACCATTTGCATGACTGAATACTGGCATTAGCAATACGGCCAATACTATTGATATTTCTGAAAACTCGGCACGAGTGTAGAGGAGTGAAATACGCGATGTGCAGTTAACCGAGGACAACTAAGGGCAAACATGTGCGCGTGTGCAACATGGTGTTTGCACGGACAAACCGCCAGCTGTTAAGGGGTGAAGCAGGTGCAAACGGGGTCGACCGGTTGTGCACGTTGAGACGAGAGGTGTTGCCAGAGAAACGGGAGATAAGGGTTGATTGATGGGCCAACAGGTGCCGGCCTGGCGAGAGCTTAAAGAGACGCACGAGAGGTCTCGGACAATTAGAGGGATATAAGGGTGTGTGCGTGAGCGGAGGGGGAGTTGTTGCCGGGGACGAAGAGAGAAGACATCTCGCCGCTGCCACTCCAGCCGTCAACGGGACCTCAACCCTCACACCGTCGCCGGGCGGGTGTTGGCGGATCCCCCCGTCCGGGACAGATGGGTGAGCAGGTCTAAGGGAGCGTAGGTGAGGGCGGCGGTGGAGATGTTGAATTGCTGTGTGCGGAGACGCTGTGTGCACAGACACTGTGTGCGGAGTCGCTGTGTGCGAGGACGCTGTGTGCATAGTTGCTGAGAGCAGAGCTGCTGAGTGCAGGATAAGTGAGGTGAAAGGTAGATAATAGTGGGGAGAAGTTAAACATAAGTGGCCATATAGATAGTTATGAGTGCCTACAACTGGTGCAAGAATAGGTGAATAAAGTGTAAGCAGGTGACTTGTGACGACGTGTCGGTTTGAGTAATTTTTGAAGACACGACACGAGCAATAAGAGTGATATTTAAATTTTAAAATTTCACAAATTTTTCATGATGTCATTCAGGGCTCTCCGAACAGCAGGAAGCGGCCTATGGATCTACATTTTACATAGCTACTGTGGTGCCACGGCCCCGAAGCCACTCTGCAAGTGCCTCGACCCCCCCCCCCCCTCTTTCCCCCACACTGAAAACACACACGCAGCGCACACACATAGTGTCCTGGCGTGAGATTGCTTGGCACAACAGGTTTTAATCCGAAGGGTCCCTATGAGGAAAGTCCCATGGTTTCCCAGTGCCAGGGGATTGGCCAACCCTCGCAGGACAATTTACATCGCGGTGCCCCTGAATTGGCTTAATAGAGTATGGGCACAAAAAGGTTACTGGGCCAGCCGCGAAGTCATTAACAACATCGGGAGAAGCCAGGGTGAGGTTAGGGGAGCTTCGTCGGGTGTTTATCCAGATTAACGAAGGTGAGTAATACATTCTTGAGTGCGGAAGGGCAGACAGTGGATCGCGAAAGCCCCGGCTGCGGCGATCCATATAAGGGTGAAACAAACCAAGCAGTAACCACAGGCAGGCGCACGATTGGCGGGGCAGTATGACGCGACCCCGGTGAAATCAAGGCCCGTTCCATCTTATCAGCGTGTTGTTTCCTTTATTGCGGCTTCCCCCGAGGAGCCAATTTCGGGGCTTTCCCAGGACTCTCAGCCCACATTTGCCTCGCCGTTTTTTGTTGTTGTTAAATTATTCCTATAAGGTGGTGGTCAATCCAGTTTTACAACTTTTATGAAGCCAAGCTTGTGAACAATGTCTTTTGTTGTCTCGAGGGAGGAGTTTACAGGTAGTCCGTCACTGCATCTTTTTTGGAACTCGCTAAATCCAGGTATATAAAAAAACGATTACATAAAAAATAGGCAATATCACTCCTAATATTTTTTTTGTAAAGGCATATATACAACACGTGTGATTCCAGCGAAGTGCCACTACGAGGCAGGTGTTAGGCCGTGAGTACAGCTAGCGAGGTATGTGGGAGGACGCTTGAGTGAGTGGGCGCGTAGGTAGTAGTCGGCTAGGCTTTACTCACAAGATACTTCCCCCGTGGTAGTGCCGATTGGGCAGCTTACTTTAGGGATTGTGGTTTGTGCCGAGAATAAAAGTTAGCGCAGAGCATAGGGTTTTAACCACGTGCGGCTTCCGAGGCCAGCAGCACGAGCATGTCCCTCAGAGAGGGGGCTAGTGTGGGGGGCCCCATCATGTGGTCGGCGGGGGCCCCATCATGTGGTCGGCGGGGGCCCAGTGGGAGCTGACCGTCTTGGTGGAGGAGGGAGCGGAATGGGCGGACGTTGTGCCCTATCTGCCCAGCGAGGGTGACGGAGTGGACGTCGGGCCCCATTTAAGTGACCTGATCCACACAGTAGAGGACAACAGTGTCTCACCCACTCTGCCATATGAGAGCAGTGTAACCGGCTCGCCCAATCACTCTCTTCCCATGATCGTAACGAGGGGACAGGCCAGTTAATAAAAACAACAATAATAGAGTTTGGAGGCGATGAGTGGATACTCTGCGATGTGTTCTGCCCTCCTCTTGAGGATTGAGTGACTCCACTACGGAGGGACACCAGAGGGTTGTGGAACGGCAACTCCTTATTTCAAAGTGTTCTTCTGAGGAGCATTCGTGCATCTGTAATTATGACCAGATGCACACGAATCGACCCCACGTTACACAGCACCTCAATGTTCAATCCCTGTGTAATGACAGGGTGACACCTGCTGGCCTGGAAGGGGAATCACGGGTACGGGCACGGTTAAGCAATCACCAATCAGAGAAATAGGTGTATCTGGGGCAAAGGTAAAAGGTTGGGTTAGCCAAGAACTTCGGGAACCTGCTCGAAGGTTCCACGAGAGGGCATGGCTGGAGGCGGGGCTTAGCCACGCCTGAGGGCATATAAGGGGGAGCGGGCTCGGGGCTGGTGTGTGGAATCCTGGGTCCTGGCTGCGTCGCTGATAGTCAACACCTCTTTCCGTCGTCCGGCCATGTGGAAGATCTCCTGCGTGGCTTCCATAGCTGTCATCGTCACGCCCGCCAGCCAGCGGCGTAGTCGAGTGAGGGCGATAGGACCACGCCGAATGGTCGGCTGTGTGTGTAGCCAGTAGAGACGTAAACACCTAGTGTTGTACTCAGTGAGAGACAGAATAAGTATTGGCCTGTGTTGTGCCCGGTGTGAAAATAAAGAAGAAGTACCCTCTACATGACATGTCGCGGAAGTCGCTCATTACACCTGTACAACGTCCATCAGAGTCTTAATAGATGCCCTTGTATCCTGAATTGATTACTGCACTGGTGGACGCATGGCCTATTGTGCAGTCATGTGAGTTTATTGGTCAAATCCATGGTCATAATTAACTCCATTCACAATTATACGTGTTACTAATTAAATTAAGCCCATACCGGCTACATTAGCATTTATCACATGACTGTCAAATCGAATTTTTTATTATCAGAGCTGGAGTTTAGCCAAATTAAGGACAGACACAAATTGAATTGTAGTGGGGTTTTGGTGCAGTCATTGGTGACAGTGCTGAAACAAATAAACTCCACTGGAGAACCTGGATTCGAACCAACGTTCTCAGCAATCCCAAGTTCACACCACTGAGCCACCTGGCCACCTCTACAAATTGCATCACCGGATAGCAGACGGCAACATTTGAACTTTACATTGATCAATATTGGGCAATAGCAATACCGCGTTCAATTCTGAATATCAGACACGAGTCCTCCGTTCGTAAAATATATATTACAGCTCTACAACTTTCTGAAAAACAGACACCAGCCGTAGCCTACCATTTTACTTTGTTAAAACTAGGCACCAGTATTATAAATACCAGACACCGGGCGCGGTATTTACATTCATGAATATCAGGCACTATCCTGACAAAAGTTAGCTTCACATAAATGTGTTGCCAAACGCTCGCTAGCCCCCCAGCCCCCTAATTTGAATGGCTGCTGCGGTTTAGGGTTTTCCCATGCACGCGTTTATGATGGCCGCCACCCACGCACCACCTGGTGGATCTTTGGAGATTCTACAAGAGCGGTGGCACTGTGATAAACGATTTGCACTACTGACCAGTATGAATCCAGCCACCTCAGTTCGATTCCCGGCTGCGGCTGACAGTTTCGCGAGATATCTGAACCCGTTTGAGCGCTTTCCCACCACGCTCCCGCATTCACCAACCAACCTGCACTGACCAGCGCGGTGATGTATGATCAAACAACCCCCCAACGGAGGCCGTAGAAAGGCCTTCATCCAGCAGTGGATTAACAAAGGGCTGTTAATTATTCCAAATAGCACGGTTGACTACGTACGGCGCGAAATAAGTTCAACATACATATCTATTAAAAGCAAAACCAAACACATGTTTTTTGTATTCTTTGGGTCTTTCCGTAAAGCCACGTAGATAGAAAAAAATAATGAAAATGAAAACAATATCACGACATTTCGATCGCAAAAAAGCAATCGTCATCAGGTGAAAAAATATAGCGGGAGAGCTGCTGAGGCAGGAAATATATATGGCGGGAGAGCTGCTAAGGCAGGATGTTATAAATGTTTGAGATGGGCGTAGCCCAAAGGTAAATGGGCGGGGCTAGAGATGAAATTTGCATGTAAATGTGAGATCGGAGAGCTGAGCCATACCCACAACGACGAAGCTGTAGGGGTGGCCATTGTATTGTGAGAGATTAGCATGTCAATATAAGAGAATTGCATGTAAATGTAAATCGGTGAAAGCTCGGCAAGAGCCACTGCCAAATCGAGGAAAACGAGCAACGGTAGCTGTGTTAGTGAATGTACCTCAGAGAGTCGAAAATAACTGCTAACATAGGCAGGTAGGAAGGGAACATCACAGCCAGTTATGACCTAAACTGGTTAATAACGTCCTTCCAACGATTGCTCAGTTTGTACCCATCTTCTCGGTTGAAATTGTGTCTGTGTTTATATATCTGGATGGCTTCATGAACAAATATTTGCTGATAGTCAGTGGGTTTGCAGAGTACCTTTGTCTTGGCAAAATCAATTTCGTGTGTGCCCACAGCGTTTAAACAATGATCAGCCATGGCTGAGGTATTGGTCCAACCGTGTTTCAGATCTTCCTTATGTTCACGAACCGGGTCCAGGACATGTCACTTAGTTTCCCCAATGTAACTGCTGTCGCAGACACAGCTTAGCTTGTAGACACCGGGGTATTGCATGTCAGGGATCACATCCTTCACAGATGGGATCAAATCACGAATTGTATGTACTATGTTGAATCGAACCTGGATCTTGTGTTTGCTCATGATTTTGGAAATATTTTTGGTGATCCCTGCTATGTATGGCAAGGTGATGGTTTTGATTGGGTCCTCAGATAGTTCTTTCCCAACGGTTCGGGTGATAGCTTCATGGATTGTGTAGTCTGAATATCCATTCATCTTGAGGGCTTGGCGTACGTGCTCCAGTTCACTGGCTAGGTGGTGATGGTCGGAAATACGAGCTCTATGGTGTAGAGTTTTGATTAGGGACTTCTTCTGGGATGGATGGTGGTGGGAGTCATGTGTTAGGTAGGCATCTGTATGGGTGGCTTTCCTGTAGACAGTGTCCCATTGAGCCATCAGGTCTCTTTTCGATTAAAACATCCAAGAATGGTAACTTGCCATCCTTTTCCACCTCCATGGTGAATTTGATGGCTGGGTGTATGGATTTGATGTGGTTGAAAAATTGGTTCAGATCTGGTAGGCCATGTGGCCAGATGACAAACGTGTCATCTACGTACCCCTTCCACAAGGAAGGACGTAGGGTGGATGCCTGGATGGTATTTGTCTGAAATTTATCCATGAAAACATTGGCTACAACTGGAGATAAGGGAGAACCCATTGATTTAATGTGTCAAAATTGACATGGCAAATGTATTTAATGTGTCATATACAGAACGGCGGTAATGTTCACAGCAGCCAAGGAGGGTGGACTTGAAGCGTGAGAGGGTTGTTATTACTGCTCTCATGGCCTCATCTCACAAAGCAAAAGATTGTTGTAGCCCGTTGCCTGAAATGTCGCCTAATTACAGTGCATACAATGTCGTTTCCTTTAATGGCCGTGTCCTTGCCGAATGTTTTAACAAATTAAATTATCAGACAGAGCGATTGGATGACTAAATAATAACCAAATTTCTGTTATATAATAAACCACAATAATTAATATTCGATTGGTCTTTCGGTAAAGTCACATAGATAGGTTCAAAGAAAATAACAAAAAACTACGACGTTTCGATCGCAACACAGGCGGTCGTCTTCAGGAAAAGGTTAGCCTCCAAAGGCAAACTATTTATAAGGGTTTGAAATGGGCGTAGCCCAAATGTCAGCAGCCAATGTTAATGTGAGTGGTGGGCAGCCAACCCGACGGTGGTTGGTTTTCCACCAATCACAGGGCCGTCAGGTGAAAATTATCATGCTAATGAGAGATTAGCATGTCAATGGAATCGCAGAGCCACAACCGAGGGGTAGTCAGCACGAAGTGGCTGTGTTGGTGTGAATCCTGTGAAATGGGCGTAAAGCACAACTAACATCGGAAGGTGGTAGGATGGGAACATCATAGCCAGTTATGATTTAAACTGGTTGATAACGTCTTTCCAATGATTGCTCAGTTTGTACCCATCTTCTCGGTTGAAATTGTGTCTGTGTATATATAGATGGCTTCATGAACGGATCTTTGTTGATAGCCAGTGGGCTTGCTTCGTCTTAGAGAAATCAATTTCGTGTGAGCCGACCGCATTAAAACAATGCGATTTTCCATTGACATGCTAATCTCTAATTAACATGCTAATTTTCACCTGGCGGCCCTTTCATTGGTGGAAAACGAACCACCGTCGGGTTGGCTGTCCACCACTTGCATTAACATTGGCTGCTGACATTTGGGATACGCCCATTTCAAACCCTTATAAATAGTTTGCCTTTGGAGGCTAACCCCCCTTTTCCTGAAGACGACCGCTTGTGTTGCGATCGAAATGTCGTAGTTTTTTGTTATTTTCTTTGAACCTATCTACGTGACTTTACCGAAAGACCAAAAGAATATGAATTCCTGCAGTCACGAAAGCTTTAAGTCAAGATTAAACCACAAGAACCCAGATTAATGTGTGGTGTTATTCTTCCAGCAGAGGGCAGTGTAGTCCCGTTAACGCGTATCAGTGCTGTTGCATGGATAACCCCATTCTGTAATCTGACTCCCTGGTTTACAATAAATGAGATTTTGAGTGCGGTTTGTGAATGTAACCAGACTGCATATGAATGCCATGTTTACGTTGTTTGAATAAAATGAAGAAACGCATTGGTAATACATACTGTGGCGTGTCATCTCATTCATTGCTCATTACAACAAGAATTAGAGTAAAGCATTTTAAATATCACAAGTAGACTTCATTAAGATATGACGGGTACACACATGCGAAATGTGCAGGCTACAACACAACACACCAATGTTATCTACAATACTGTCATAACATTCATGTTTGTTACATATGTTTAACAGTATGAGCATAGCGCTCGGCACACTTTATCCGTGGCTTAGTCACAATCATACAATATGATAATAGTGATGAGAGAGGTATATATTAAATGGCCACCTGAATGCACACGTGATATACTACCCATTCTACAAAGTACCTGAGAATATTGCAGCACATGATGGCAAGTCACAGACTTCATTAGCTTTGCATATATTAAATGTTATTACATTACTAGTGTGACTTGGTTTTAGCTGTGGCATTTTGGTTTTCTTTATTACATTTTCACTTCTGCGGGATTGTTTTAAAATGTGTTTATCTCATGCTGCTCATTGTTTGTGCAGGCTCGGGCACTCAGCGGTCGATTCGGTGGCTCAACGTACTGCCTAATCCAATCCAATGTTCGATAGAATTGGGGACACATCTACATTATGGCGGAGACATTGTCCGCTCTTCTATTTGTTATTTATATTTTCCACAACGACGCCAATTATTATTTTGAGTTTTGTATTTTACAGATTTGCGTCGAACTTGGACCCATACC